GTCTATCAACTTGTCAAGCAAGCAACTCTGTTCCAGTGTTTTTAAATGCATTCTAGAGTAGTAGAAACCCAACTGTGACTAAACACAGCAATCCAGCCACATTTGGCTCATTAAATAAAACAAAAAATTAGCAATAGTCAACATATCAAAGTTCTTCCAAAGTCTTCATTCTTGTACCAGCATTATTTCCATGCTAGCAACACTAATGGTGCTCTAGCTCACAACAGCCTTTGAAGTGACTGAGAGCTGCTTACAAACAAACAAACAACAAAAAAAAACAACAACAAAACACCACAACATGAGAATGGTCCTTTTCTCTTTCAGGTAAGGGGACTAAGCAACACAGGATTTAAGGTTAATCAGATTCTCTGTATAAGGTACAGCAGAAAGGAGGTGTCAAACAAAAAACAAACCTCTGAAAAGAGTACCTTCCAGTGGAAGTCCAAGAACCTCCTATTTGTGCCCATTTCTATTAACTGCTAGAACAATACACAGCCCTCCAAGTTCTTGTGTTGTCTCCTCCACACCACAGAGTTAAGAATCCCTATTTTCATGTGATATTTTTTTCTTCTCTGGAGAGATTGTAGAATCCTTTAAGGTGTTAATATTTTTGTTTCCCTTTGGAAAAGAAACAATGCCAAAAGACAAACATCACTAAAGTGATTAAGAAGCCCACAGGCTTAGTCAGTTATGTTTTAATTATGCTTGCTACAGACTTGCACACCCACTGTTTTTGGCTTGAGAGCTGGACTCCTACTACCTTAGCTCTCTCTCTTCCCAAGTATACCTTAAGGTAATACCAGAAGGTAACAGTGTTCTCACTCTAAGGAGAGCATAAAAGACAAGTTAGTGGCTCAGATTTGTCTCTGACAGGCTAGTGATTCCATCTGCCTCTCAGCTCCCTCTTTGTATTTCAGCCTAAGCATAAACAAGTTGCTCAGCAGCAATGATCATTGTAGACAGCCCAAAAGATACCATACCATATGCCTACAGTCAGTGTCTTTCAAGGGAAAGATTCAAGAAGGCAGAAAATAGAGCAGCAGCTCAGGAGGCTGCAATGGAACTATAAGGGTATATCTGTTAAAATAGAGTGAGGGGAACAGAGAAATCCCTTCCAAACAGGAGAGTGCCAAAAGGAAGAACCTAAGATGTGGTGTTCTCACTTTCTCTGACATACCTCAAGCATTATCTACCAAAGTTATTCAGTTAGATATACACACATTCAGAAAGCCATGCAGTCCTTGATATTCAAAGTAATAAAGTATAATACCGGTGACTTAAACAGCGCATGGATCTTACTATCCAAGTGCTACAGTTCTCAAGTGAACTTAAGGGCATCTCCATTTTATGCAGATCAAATTGAACACGTGGATGAAAAATGAGAAAGAAACTTTACAATTTCAGGCAAACAGCAGATTTTAGCAGTCTCTTCTATTTGAAACAAATGAGTGAAGTTTTCTCTATGGAAATGACATTTCCTCTTCCCATTTATGTTTCTTTTGACTTCTGTGAATCCACCTCACTTTCTTGCTGGGAAGCATCACCCCACAGCTCCAAGTTTGTAATGACAAGGGCAAACTGCAGTCATGTCTATAGCCATCTCCAACAACCCTGCTGGAAGGGGAAGCAGTGGGAACAAAACAAAACAGCACCTGCAACTTATTCATGTGAAAGTTTCAGAAATAAACAATATATATAGGAAAATAGAAGCCTCGTATCTTAGACATTATTTTTAAGGAGAAATCTTTTCTGCTGCAATTATCTACCTGCTCCTGGAAAACGAGAAGCAAGGACCCATGAGAACAACCAATTCTTTTAGCAGAACAGATAGATAGAAGACTCCAGTTAATAAGAGCAGCACTGGTTGGTTTTTTTGTTGTTGTTTTTGTTTTGTTGTTTTTTTTTTTTGTTTTTTTTTTTTTTGTTTTTTTTTTGCCTTCATCAATCTCAAGAAGAAAATGCAGTGTGCCAGGAAGGTGAAAACAAAGGAAGAAGTTTTAATGCCAGTTCAGCATACCACAGGAGGCCAAGCAACGGCACTATCACATTACTCCAGGCAAAGCTATCCTGCCAGCTCCCACACAAAAACTGATCATTAGTTAAGTTTCCACAAATAGATGTGCACAATTTAAAAGGCTGCATTGTAGTTCTCTCCTCAGCCTATCTCCCAGTCCTCCAGCAGATGGTCTCTGCACACTTAGCAGTTCCTCAGTCCATGCCAGGGACCTGCCCTCACACAGAACATGTTACGACGTTTGTGCCATCTGAGCCAGGTCAGGGGAGAGGTGCAGAGATTCAAGAAGCAATAAGCATCAATGCCAAATGGAAAGGAGCACTACACCAGTGGAAGAATGCTACAGAAAACTAAAACTGTAGGAAGAAAAAATGCCAGAGCCATTAAAAACTTTAAAAGGAAGAGCAAGAAAGCATCTCCATTTACATTACTAACAAATTAGCAAGCAGTCCATATGCAACTGAGTAGCGAGAGTACTCTTCATCTTCTGTTTATTTCCAAATTTAGTTTGCTTCATTTCTATCCTTACTGTTTGTTGTTGTTACTGAAGTCCTGAAAGGGATCCTCCTTTCTCCTAATCTCCAAGTTTCTAGTGAAGCGAGCATGTGTCATGCAGAGGAAATTTTATTTCAAAATAAGGATTTCTATAAAATGCGAAGTATTATATCTGAACTACTTGAAAGGGAGCTTTCCAATGGGGAGTTCTGCTGTCATTTATGTCAAACCACTGCCTGCCTTCTCACAAAGATAACATATCCTTTCAAAGCTGCTAACTTGTTATTCTCAATAACTTTAAGGTCAGCAATATCTTGACCTGTGTTTATTTCAGCAGCTCTTCTATTTTTGTTGTGGCTATAGATCATGATTGCTAACAAGTCAAATATTGCCAAGGGTATGCAGGAGATGAGCAAGACTTCCAACTCAACTTGGCATAGGACAGGACATAAAAAGAGAATCTATTCATTTGCCAGCAAGTTGGGACTTTCCAGCTTGTGAATCACAAAATGCACACAGTGAGCCCATAGGGCTGTACAGAACAATAGCCCTAGAACAACAGGTATAAAGTGGTTTCATAATTCAGATTAAATTTGCTAGAAGGCTATTAAGCGATTATCTTTCCTCTGCACGCATCTGAATTTCATTATCTACAGTGTATGCGATTAGTACTAATGTGGTTCTTTCTGTTGTTGGTCCACCCCTGTGGTTCATCTCTGATAGTTTTCAGCACTACCTAAAGATTCTCCAAGACTGCTTTAAAGATTTCTGTCCCTTACATCACATTTTGAATGCTGTGTCACAGTTATTAACGAGTTCTCGGCTTTTAGAAACAATAGGTGCAAGAAACTGAAAGACAGACATGCTAAGCCTTCAGACAGATGCAGACCTGAACGTTTCTCCAGAAAATTCCGAGTTTCATTACTTGAATGTATACAACCGTTGTGGGAACAAGCGGAGTTCCTAGCAACGAATATGGACAGGGACAAAAAAAAACCGAGGGGCGCGGTCAAGGGCATCCTTTGACTGCGTACACGGAAGGCTTCCTACGCGGCCCGATGCTTCTCCGGCTTTTGGGAGCAGCACACGCTCGCAGCCGAGCGCAGAGCGGATGCGGTCCCCAGGAGCCGGGAAGGCGGGCGGGCTGCGGCAGCGAGCCCTTTGTTCCGGGCATCCCGCGAGCTTAGCGCTGCGGCTCCGGCTGTTCGGTACGGGAGATCGGCGGCCGGCAGCCCCTCACGCAGCCTCTCCCGGCTCCGGCGCAGCGGAACGCGGGGCGAACGGCCGCTCCAACCCCCCACCCCCGCGCGGCGGTGCCTCACCGAGCCCGGCCAGCCGCTCCACCAGCCCCGCGGCGCGGAGAGTAGCGGGGCCGCGGTCCACTCCGCGCCGTTTCTGCCAGACAAAGAAGAAGAGACGCGTTAGCGAGCACCGCCCGCCGCCGGGCTGCGGCCCCCCGGCCCAGCTATACGCCCACCTGTCCCCTGGACAATGGGGCGCCCACCAGCGCCACCGAATGCGCTCGCCGGGGCGGCCGCAGCCCCGCATCCGCCCGCTTGAGGAACAGCCGCACGAAGCCACCGCGCAAAGCCATGGCGCAGGAGATGCCGAGCCGGCAGATGATGCCCGCCGCCGCCGCGCCGCTCCTTTTAGCCGGCTCCAGCTCCGCGCGCGCCGCCCGCCCCCGCCCGCACACCCCCGGGCCGCCCGGCCAATGGCGGCGCGCGCGCGCGGAGGTGTGTCCCGCCCACAGAGCGGAGCGGGGCCCTTCGCGCGACGCGGGCGGGCGGCGGCTCCTCCTCACGCGCCTGCGGCGCTGGGGTTTTTCCACTCCCGCGGCGGGGGGCTCGCGCACCTGCCCCGGGCGCTGTGCTCCAGCCCGTGGCGCTGGGCGGGGATGCGGTGACCTAAGAGCAGGAGCCGGCACTTTGGTATTGCCGAAGCTCAAGTTTCTATACGCGTATGCACGTGCTCTGAGGAGAGCCGAACGAGCGGCGGTGGCACGGGGCGGCTCCCCGCCTCTCATCGAGGGATCGCTCCGCTCCGTCGCCTCGCACGGCGCCAGCTCCTGCCCCGCGCCCACCTCCTCGGCCGTCACTTTTAGCACCTGCTCTCCTCGTAACAACACGCAGGCCCCGTCTCTAATGTTAGCGTCCCATTTTCAGCCTACGCAGGCTTTTTTTCCCACCGGTTCTGCCCTCACCCCTTCGGCCTCCGTTTTCGCCGCTCCTTTGTTTACACGGCACCCACGCAGGGACTCTGCAGCCGCCACGAAGGCAGGCAGTTGCACACGGAAAGTTGGTACCGGAGGGGGACAAGCGGGGGGAAAACGCCTGCCCCGCTCCGTCACGGTGAGAGCCACACAGGAGAACAACGCAACCGCAGCCCTTATAGCCAGGCGGCAGACAGGCTCCCGCAGCTCCGCGCACGCGCCGCCCGCCTCTTCCCTTCCCCTCTTTTTCCTTCCCGGCGGAAGCGGGGCGCTGTGCGGATGGAGGAGCGGCGCTATCGCTCGGCGTCGGGGGCGCCGCTGGCGCTGCGGTGCCGCCAGCATAGCGCTTCCTGCCGGGAGCTGGCCGTGCGCTGCCCCCGCCTGCAGCTCCGCTCGCTCAGCGCCGTCACCTCCGCCGTCTGGCTGGCGGCCTACGGGCTCTTCGTGCTTTGCCAGGTACCCTCGCCCCGCCCCGCTTGGCTCCTCGTGGGGACCCCGGCGGAGAAGGGCGGCGGGCGCCTCCAGGTGGGCCCTGCGCGTCGCTGCGCTCGGGTCCCGGAGGGCGCCTGCTGGGCCCTGCCGAGGCGACCGGGCTGCCCGCGGGCCCTGCCGGGCAAATCCGGGGCTGCCCGCGGATCCGAGCGAGCCGCGCCGTGCCCTGCTCTGCTGGTGCGGGGCGGGAGCTGCGGCCGCACTGCGGCTGTTGCGCTTCCGTTTTGCCTCAGCGGTCTTTCCTGTGTAACGAAGGCAGGAAGGATAGCGGGAGTCAATTGGCAGTGGTTCGCTATGCGGTAGCTACCGCCCGCTGTCGTCCAACTCGGTTTTACATATGCTCCTGCGGCCCGCGTGTGGCTGCAGTCATTCCTTTCTGCCAGCAAACCGGGTGGATTTCAATGCCTGTAACTCATGACTGCCTTTCCATGACAACAAACTGTGGGAAAAGCTCTGTTTCCATTCTCTTTGTACGTTGCCACGGCTTCTTTCTTATCACCTCACATGGTGATAGAGTCTATTGTGCGCTGCTTGCATGGCAGAGCTGTGCCGTTCTGGTAAAGCCTTGCAGTTCTAGCCCTTAGGAAGTGTTAGGTTTAACTCGGGCTGATGAGTGTGTGGCCTGGTACTCTCTGAAACAGATCCCAAAAGCAGCTATAGGTTGAAAACCTTCAGGCTTCGTTACCAGGTCCTTCATTGATGCTGCTGATTTACTGAGAAAAAGATGACTTGTGGAACATATATTTGTAAACTTATGTATTGTTTTATGTAGCAACAAGCCCAAGGTTGCAGCATGCAAAAAACAGTTTGTCCTCAGGTGAAGCACAGGAGGAAGCAGACATTCTCAAGCTTGATGTTTAAGACAAGGAGAGAGGCAAAGTTTGAATGAATTTAGACTTGCCATGGTAAGAAGAAAACTTGAATCTCCTCAATAGGCCCAGGCCAGTGGTTTTTTGCTGAAAGATTTTTCTTTGAATCACCAAGCTTAGTTCAAGTAAACATTTAACAGCATTTCTCTATCCCTACAGATACCTGTATAATACACTGTCAATGATGTATACAACTGCATTTGGATGGGATTTATCCAGTAACTTTACAAGGGAATACAGTGTTCTTGCTGATTTCATTTTCAGTCGTTCTTTCAGACCATCCTATGAAGGGTGATGTTTGGTGACTTAAATCCATCATGCATATATCAGCCAGCCTTTTGAATGAATGGACTCCACCTACATAAAATCACCTACGTAAAATTATACTCTACATTCAATTAATTTTAAGACTAGAGCCCTGTCTTTGCTTGGTTTGTGTTACAGAATAGTATGGTGCTTTCTGCCGCTATATTCCTCACGCTGATCGGCCTCATCATCTACCTGCACTTTGTGAAAATTGACCAGGAATCCCTACTGGTCATCGGCTCACTTGGCATTCAGGTGACTTCATCTTACGCTTCAGGGAAGGAGAGCATAACCTTCATTGAGATGAGCCAAGTGAAGGATGTGGTTATCAATGAAGCCATCCATATGGTAATCATATTGTCTTTCTTGTACCCACCTTTCTTGAAGGTGCGCTCATCACACGTATTTTCACAGGACTGGTTTGGCATTGCAATTGAATACAGCTGCATAAATACAAATATGTAGACTTGACTGTGCTCTGGAGTGACTGGGAGATGGCAGTCATACTGCACCAAGCTGCTTACATTAAGGGGGGGGGTTGAAAGCTGTAACTTCCACAGAAGGCTGAAGCAGGCAACTGTGATAGCTCTTTAAAGTGACACCCATAAATCCAACAGATTAACGTATGTGAGTCTGAAGTCATCTTCTGCTAGACTTACCCAAAAGAGAGTTGTTTTGCCTGAAGAGCACTCTGGGAAGACATGGAGATTTGCATAGGTCTGTATAAAGTTTTCTAGCAAAAGGAAACAAAGGTTTCTCATTATATGCAAGGAGGCAGAAAAGCCTTTGCACTTGCTTGTCAGTTTTATGTAAGACTTGGTGTGCTGTGCCACCATCACTGTTGAGTTCAAACGGTTACAGAGAACTGAGGTTGTACACAATGTCACTGACGTGTGTGAAATCATCACAGATGAAAACAAATTCTTAGTAAGTCTCCACAATCTTCAACATGGTCCAGCATTGTATAACTTCTTAGAAAGGCAAAACAGGTAATTAGTAAAATGGTTTGTATGAAAAAAAAAAATAAGAGAAAGGCATTGTCAGCAGGAATGTTTAAATCCTATGCTGCTTGTTGTTTTTTTTCCTGTGTTTTTTGTTGTTATATGTTTAGTAATATCTTGAACTTCAGTAACTTGAGTAGATTTGGGTGAAGAATGGCTTTACAGAAAGGATGGGTTTTCTGAAAATCCGCCTGCAACCTTTTCAATTCAAAATGAGAAGTTCATGGAGCAAAACCATCCTGATATTTTTAAGGCTGAACACAGGAAAAAAGAGAAAGGGACTGATTTCAAGCTGCTTTATTCATAACCTTGTAGCAAGAATTTTTACCCTCTTGAAACACTGATGTTTCTGCTGTTTTATCTTTAGAAAATGTCGCACATTTTGTTCAGCCCAATGAGCTGAAGCAATTGCTCTTTCTGTGATGACTCCAGGCACTTTGATAGCATTTTCAAACTTCAATTATTTGTTCTGTTTGTCTTGTAGCAAAAAGTTATCTATTACCTGTGCATCCTCCTGTGCGACCCTCAGGATCCTCAGGGAGTGTCTGAGGTTGTGCCGCTCTTTCAGGTGAGTGTGACTGAATAACGAGGCAGTACAAAGCTGTGTTTTGTGTGTGTGTCAGATGCCTTGGCGTACCTTTGTTCTGCCACACGTGGGACAAAGGGTTACAGCTGCCTTTCTCCGACTGCACATTCAAGTTGGATCTTACAGCAGTGTGCTGTGAGCAATACTCCAGTCTCACAGAATTAAGTACCAGGGAAGTTTTGTTTGTTGGTCCTCCATGCTAGGAATAGGGCGCTATGTAGTTTTGAATCTGACCAGTAGATTGCATGAACTGGAAGTCTTTGGCTCACTGATGGTAATGAGGACTTGCACAGCTTTCTGTGTAATCTCTTGCTCAGTGTTACCTTTGTAATTGTATTGCCATAGCTGATTTATCTCTCGTCAATCTGTGCCAAAAAGATTTCATAAAAATCTCTTTGGCTTACAATGATAGCTTCCCCTACAACCGCTGACGAAGATCACAGTACAAGCTGTAAGCAATTTGCTTAATGTGTAATAACTTGTTTGTTTTAGTCACATCCTGTCTATCTCATACCCTGCTTTACTCATACTCTGTCCTTTCTCTTCTCTTGCTAACCTGTTTTGGCTGTTCATAATCCTGTTTTGGGGATGGAATTTCTTTCTCTCTCTGTGTGTACTTCACTCAACAATACACTGATCCTTGAGTGTAAGTAAGGAGTACAGATGTACCTCATATTCTAGACTGCTGATGTTGTGTTTATCTTCCTCTCTGTTCACCAGCTGCTCATGAATATCAGTTTGTAGTCAAATGCAATTTATGACTGGATACAGTTAAGTCTTCAGCTAAATACTTAGAGGAATAAGTGCACTAATCCATAGATATTTACAACTGACTCAGTCCCACAATTGTGAAGACATTTACTAACAGTAAAATAAATGAAGTATTTCATGTATGTCCAAGGAATTCACAATAAGTGTATTCCAGGCAGCTGCACTCAGGATTTGTGTTCCTTTCCAGCTTCCTGGCATTAGTGTGTTAGGTTTTTTTCCCTGTTTTTTTTTCTTTTTTTTCCTCCTTAACTCAAGTCTGAACAGTGTTATTTCTTTGGAAATATCTTAATGTTGGCAGTGTTGATTCCACCAGCAAAGGATTAACAGAAAGAGCTGTGTCAGTTTGCAGTTCGTTACCTGCCAGTAATTCTCACTTTAAAGTTACTTAGTTTTGAAGGAGCAGTAATTAGTAACTTTCTTGCATCTCCTTCAGTGGGTCTTTGCTCCTCTAAGGCATGTCAGCTCTCAGAAACACAACTTAACATGTCACTGCACCCAGGAGTACTTCTGTGCTGAGTTGACCTATTGTTCTCTTAAGCAATGGTTGCAAAGAAAGGCATTAAATGGACTTTACACAGTAATGCTGTTTTGAGATCTCAATAGTCATGGAGCCATAGGGATCCCAGAACTGGGAAACTTTCATCTTCCTGCTGATCCAGGTTAGGAATGATGAAGAATCATTATTCTCTGACTACCATTCCTCTATTAGTGTGAAATTAATTGATGTTTTCAGTTAACCTTCAGTTGTCCTCTTGTTGACAGTAATAGCTGTGGCTAAGGGCCAAGCATGTAAGCTCCTTGTTCTGAAGGTCATTTTTTCAGGGTGGAGATCGTTGAGGGAGTATTGTCTCACAGATAGGCTAATGGCTTGGAAGATGTGGATTTTCTTCTGTATTTTCACTGTACATTGTGAGTTGAAAGGAGAGGATCTCTGATTTGGTGAGAGATTCAGGCTGACTGGAGAGTGGTGCTGTGTGTTTTAACCTGACAGCTCTGGGGACTGGTGCTTTTCATCCCTGAGCTGATGTGGCTGATTCTTTTGTCACAACTTACATTAAAAAGCTCCTGGAATTTGATGAATTCTAGATGAGCATGTAAAAAGGAAATCTATTCTCAGTTGAGTTAATGTGAGATAGTAACTAGAGATATCTTACTGTTGCATTCCTTATACATGTATGCTTCTATCCATCAGCTTTGTGTCAGCTGCCTCCACATTCCTTTCTCTGTCCGACAAATCTCCTTTTTACAACTGGTTAACAGTGTGATTCTCTGTTGTTTGGCTTGACTTCTAGAGTTCCAAACCACGTCTGGACTGCTTGATAGAAGTGTACAAAAGTTGTCATGAAATCCTGGATCAGAGAAAAACAGCTTCACAACCAGATGGAGTAAAATAATAAATACTCAAGATGGATAACTTGCAGCAGGACTTGGAGAAATGTATGGAAAAGCAAGCAAATCTGACCTATGGCTCTTTAAAATTAAATGTTTAGAATGTGATGCAGTTGTAAGAATGACATTATAGATAACAGCCCACACAGACTCACAGAGCTGTTATAGAAGATGTCAGCTGAAGTGCACAAGTGAACCTAGAAATTGACTGTTATGAAAAGCAGGTGAGCAACACTTATGAAAGAGTCAAACAGAAGAGGTTTTTCCATGCATCTATGGAAGAAGGTATTGGAAGGGGAGACAAAAATAGGCAGCAAATGTTTATTCTTTCATGGATCCGAGATTTCTGACAAAAACAAATTGTAACCTTGGGAAGACAGAAAAAAAAACCTTTTTTTACTTTTTTTTTTTTTTTTTTTTTTTTTAAGTTTCTTTGTAATCTTTTCTTGGAAAGAGTATCAAAACAAAGGTGGGCTGGCTCAGTAAGTTTTCCTGATCCAATGGGGAATTTCAGATAGAGAATGACAGAAAATGAGAATATACTGTTGCTTTGATTTATATTTATGGAATTAAGCATAGCAGAAGATACTTTAGTTTCTTCAGCAATCTGCTTGAAAAAAAGTCCCATGGTATGGGACCCTAGGGAGAAGAAGAGTCCAAGATTGACACTCAGGAATCACTTCCTCCAAGCACGTGAGTAGCCCATCCCAACAAGTAAAAAGTCGAGCAAAAATGGCAGGAGGCCTGCATGAATGGGCAATTTATTCCTGGCAAAATTAAAATACCGAAAGGTAAAAGTGAGGACAGGTAGCCTGGGATCAATATAGAGACTGTCTCACCATGTGAGGTATGTGGTTAGGGAAGCCAAAGCCTATCTGCAATTGAATTTTTCTAGAAATGCCAAGGGCGACAGAAAGGCCTTCTGTGAGTACTTGAGTAGCAAAAAGGCAAGGAAAATGTGAGGCCACCTCTGGATGGTGTAGAGGTGTGGTAACACCAAGACCTGAAAAAGAATGGGGTACTGAATGCCTTCATCATTTCAGTCTTTACTAGAAAGACTAGACTTCAGGAATTCCAGGTTGCAGATAGCAAGGGAAAGTTCTGGAGCAAGGAAGACCCTTGATGGAAGGTGATCAGGCTAGAAAATACTTAAGCAAACTGCATGTTTGTAAGTCCATGGAACCTGGTGGGATGCACCTACAAGTGCTGATGAATTTTGCTAATGGCACAATCTCAGAGGAATGGCTGATATGTCAGAGATGTGTGCTGCCAGCCAAAGGGACCCAGACAGGCTGGAGAGATGGGTATGCAGGAACCTCTTGTAGCTCAACAAACGGTCCTGGAGAGGAATTACTCTGTGCTGTTCCTTCCAGTACATGCTGGTTCTTTTTCAGAAAAGGATGCGGAGGTCACAGTGGACACCAAGTTGTAAAGGTGCCAGCTGTGTGTCCTTAGTACAAAAAGGCTAAGAGTGTCCTGGATTGCATGGGAGATGCATTGCTAGCAGTTCAAGGGATGGGATCCCTCCCCCTTCCTCAGCACTGGTAGGACCACAGCTGAAGTGCTGCATCCATTTCTGGGCTCTCCAGTATGTGGGCATGTCAGGTGCTAGAATGGGCTGCCCAGGTAGGTGGTGGAATCACCAACTCTGGAGGTGTTCAAGGAACTTTTGGACGCTGTGCTGAGGGACGTGGTTTAGTGAGAACTATTGGTGATAGGTAGATGGTTGGACTGGATGATCTTGTGGGTCTTTTCCAACCTTGGTGATTCTGCGGACAGTGAGGGGCTGCTTACATTGGCGTGGAGCTGGAGCCTGAAGAAAGACTGGAAGAGCTAGGGCTTTAAGCCTAGAGGAAAGAGGGTTTGGGGGCAATCGTATATAAGTACCTAAAGGGAGGTTGTAAAGAAGATGGAGTCTTCTTTCTGGAAGCTTTCTGGGGGCTGGAGCAGAGCTTGCTTCCAACCTCATTCAAAAGAGCCAAATCAATTACTATGAGAATATGAGAAAAATATGTTATAAATTAAAATTATAATAATGACTGTGTGAATAAAGTAAGTTAATGTGGAGAAGTTCTTAGTTGATTATTTAAAAGTTACTGTAACTTTTAACTGGTATTTTTCTGTTCTTTTTTTTTTTTCCTCCATGATTTCTTATTAAATTAATTAAGGCAATTGAGATATTGGGAAAAGCAAAAGCTAAACTAGCAAGCTGGCAGAAGCCTTGGTCTCAATCTCCATACAACACTGTGCTATTGATTTGTACATTCCGTAGAATTAAGACATGGCAGCACATCAACATCATCAACATGTAATGTGGGTTTTTTTGTTTGTTTTTTTGCACTGTGCTGCAACGTACAGGTTAACTCAATTGACAGGAGTACTCTGGCTGTTGAAGCGAAGGGCAGTGGCTTGGGGATGCACGGTGGCATTTGGGCAACCTTGTCTGGGTGTTCAGTTTCTTCTGTGGTTTCATTTCTCACCGATGCTTTAAATGATGGTGTTGGCTGGATTTTTAAGTCTGGTTCAGTTGCAGTGCAAGTTTGTAGGTCTGCCTCTGAGGTTAAGGATGCTGTACCTGATGTTCGGTGGCAAGTCCAGGCAAAGCTGGGGTATTGGGGAAGAGGCAGAAATAGGCTGTTGACAGCAGAAGCAGGCTCCAGAGATGTGGCTGTGGTGGAGGTCCTTTGGCTGAACCTTGTGGCACACTTAGAGCTGGGTACAGAGCTGCCTATAGACCTGCTTTGGGCAGGGTGTGTTTCTTCATGGGGATTAGAAATGATTGAGAACACTGAAGAGCATTTATAGCAGTGGGAAGATTTGCTGATCTGTGGGAAGAATGTGTCAGAGGAGAAGTTATCTCAGCAGAGTGGGCAGACTTGGACCCAACAGTTTGCTGGGAACTCTGGCTATGCTGTAAAAATGTCATAGAGTCTGGAGAATGTGAACTGAAGAAATGAAAGAGAAACTGTATCGCAGGAAGAAGTCTGGAAAATCTTTTTAGCTATCTTTGGGACGTCCCATGCATGTGGCATTGCACTTCAGTGATCTGCTCAAGCCAAGTTAAAAGACAGAATCAAAGAGTCGGAGACGGGGAGCTTTGCTCCAGGTATGTCTATGGAAACTAACACAGTCTTTGACCACATACATTTACTTCAGGGTTATTCTGGCTTTTGAGATAAATAGTTTCTTTCACTCTGTGAAAACATACGAGTTCATTCAGGATAATTTCATTTTATTAAGATCAGAAATCTCACGTATCTCCAAGACAGCCTTTCACATACACACAGCAGTTAGGGAAACAAAGGCTGTTGTCTCATTCCATACTGTTGGAATTATCATCGCCAAAAGCATTGATTAAAATAAAAACTTTATCAAGGAATCATACAAAATAGGTATCTACATAGGGTTTGTTTTTTTTTTAATTTGTTTGCTTTATTTTAAAATCAAGTAACCTACAAATAAGAGGTACATGTGCATCCATCAGAGTGGAGTGGTCTCTGAAATACTCAAGTATTTATATTTGGAAGAAGGAAAAGTCACATTTGCCATGTTTGTGAATTTAGAATGAATTTATGGCAGAAAACAATGAGCTTCATGACAGCTCTTGCTTATTAACATTTCTGCTTCCTGTTTCCCCAGTACAAGGATGTAGGTGTTAGCAGTGCAAGGTAAGCACAATCTCAGAACAGTGAACTGGAGACTTTCATGCCTTGAGCATCCTTATGACAGATGACAATGAGCGGAGCTCATTTCTTTCTGAGGCAGCTTTGTTACTGGTGGGGCACAAGAAGCAGGCTGCCAAACAGACCTCCAGATCCTTACTAAGATCAGAGAGAGAATGTGTACTTCTGATATATTTTCAATAGAGTGATCAGTAGTATACAAGGAGATTACATATAGAGACTAAAACAATACCTTAACATTATTGTTGACTCAGAAAACTACTTTTTCAATAAGTTCAAGGGGTGGATCTTAAATTCATGACAAGTGGGTACATTGCAGAGTGGACAAATCAGGTCTCTGTGTATATATAATCTCCTACTTCAAGTCTATTGTATAATTTCCACAGGCCTTTTTTTTTTTTTTAGTGTTAAAAATATGCTGACAAGTGATTGATTAGAATGATTGTTGTCCCATGTAGTTTTGATTTTTGGCTTTGTACACACAATAAGCTTGAAACAAAAACTTGTAGTTTTTGCAGTACTTCTTGCAGTATCAGCTCCACCGTGTATTGGATATTTCAAGGGTGGTGACAGATACTAGGAAGTAAAAAAAAAAAACACACTGGTATGGTTGGTTGATTCATTGGTGAATCACTTTAGTTTGTTATTGCTGAATTCTTTATGATGGTTGGATTCACACTGTTTTAATTTGAGAAAGCTGCCCATGGATGCATTATTATGAAGTTACTCAGGTACTTTTGAAAGGACTATTCTTCTTTACTTCTTAAAAGGTTTCTCAAAATAGCTTAACTCAAGCCAGATAGATATTGAGTTCTTAAGAAGAATGTCTGTTTTTTTTTGTTGTTTTTTTGTTTGTTTGTTTGATTTTGCTTCCCAATCAGAACGAAGTCCCTTTGAAACCAATCAGAAAAACACTCTTTAGGAAAATCTGAAGAACAATATTAGAGTATATGTTTGCTAACAACCTCCTCATTGAGACAGTAGCATGAAGAAAGGAGGAGATCTAAAGGAACAGCTTCTGTGAAGGACAGAGCTGGTTTGGGAAGGTCTGTTCCAATTACTGAAAGATGTAAAAATTGAAAGGTTTGCTTGCCTTGTCTTCCTTTGTCTGAGGTGACATGCACATCGTGAAACATGTAACAGTGATTAATGAAAAGAGTCTGTATGTGGTGGTGGGGCATGTGACACTTTCAGCCCTGCAGCAGGGATCTGGTGTTCATCAGTTGTATAGAGCAGCATCAAGTGTCAAAAGCCATCCATTCTGCAGGAGCCAGGGCACTGTCTGACACTGGTCCAATCCCAGCTGTTCTGAGTCCTCAACATGGAAGGACATCAGGTTTAATCTTCATAAAATTAAAGTTGAAAAGATTCTCACGTACCACTGAATTCTTATTCTATACTCCCTATTCCAGGTCTTAAAAATCACCCCCGACATGGCATCAGAAGTCTTGTCAGTTCAGTTCCCATTCCCTTTCAACAGCTGTATCTCTTTTTCTTTCATGTCTGGGGCAGAGACTTGGAAAGTTTCTCTCTTTGAATTTTGGAATCAGTTTTAGGGAGGAATCAGTGCAGCTTCAGGAAAAAATAAATTATCTTTTTTGTGTTAATTAGTGGCAAAAATACAAAAAACTATCTTAGTCTCTTCAAAAGGACTATCTTGATAGCAAGAGTAGCAGCAGTGAATTTAAACACAGGTCAAAACTTTAATGCAATGGCTATTCATAACCAGAGCACAGAGCTGAAGCTATGTCTAAACTACCTGATCAAACTACATCATATTAATCTTTACACTCTGGAATAGCCTGCCAGTGTCTATCTAGTTTATGAGGAAGTGATATGCTGCTCCTTATGCAGGCAGTATTCACCAAGGTGCATCCTTATACTTGGCTTGTGGCACAGTATCCAGAACCACCTGTCTTTAATTTTATTGAGACTGTGTGCTCAGTCCACTTCTGTCAAATTCAAGCTTACGCACCACTCAAACCTGCCTTGCAGAAACTGCAGTCTGTTTCAGGTAAAGAGTGAGCGAGTCAGTGACTGATGTAAACAGAAGATTATTGGAAATAATGGGAATAATCCAAAGGGACTGATGAGGACAAGAGACCACAAGGAGTTCAAGAACTGGGCTGAGGTCCCAGGCGTAGGGTGCAGTGCAGTGATTTAAATGCAGGTGCAAAGCTGAAAATGGGAAGCATTAAAGAAAATGTTGCTTGTAAACAAAGCTGTAAGCTTGGGAGATGGAAGAATACTTGCAGCAAAAAGAACCAGAGCCCGCATTAAAACAAGGTGTGTAACTGGCAGAATTGTAGCAGTCTGCAGTTTGGTACAGAGCAGTGGGGAAAGCAACAGCACACTGCAACCCCACAAATAAAAAATTCCCAAATCGGAATGAGCCCTCAGAGCAGGGTGGGCCCCTTAGTGCTTCGGGGCATGGAAGGGAAAAAACACCGACTTTCAGTCTCCCAGAGCCTGTTGGCAGGTGGTGTGCTTCGAGAGGGCTGTGCGGAGGGTAGGAGCGGAGTTGTCAACCGGGAGTTAATGTAGGTGGCAATAAGAAGTGTTGCTTCAACAATCTGGGGGAGAAAAAGAAAATGATTAACTGTAAGTCAAGGAGAGGGAAAAGTGCCCTTTGAATTTATTTATTTTTTTAAGAACCTATTGACCACGTAACATTTGCAAAAGATTTCTTTCTCACATAGAGTTGTTAAGTTCTGAATTGAAGGACTGTCTGTAAGAGGTAGAACAAGTCTCTCAATTAAATGAAACAATTTACACGGAACTTCTTGACTGTACATAGCTAGTGCAGCAGTCAGAAGTACCAGACCCAGGGCTTGTTCAAAATGCCTGGCTTAGGTACTGCCAGCTGGAAAGATACTCACTGTTCATTTTGTAATTACCTTTGGAATTGCCATTGTGAAAAGGAGTTTTTCTGTGCTGCTTTTTCCAGAACTCCTTTCTTTTATTTGATTGACTACAATCATGAAGTCGTCTCGACAGCCTCCAAAGGTCAACACAGAAGAGTATGTGTAAGAGAATTTCAGGTGCTGCAGACAACAGAGAGATGAAGAGTCATGCTTCTGTAAAAGACAAAATGGCCACCTCAAACTAGTGTGTTTGCTATTTACTGCAAGCAGTAATAGGCAATTGGCTGTACAGATAACAGCTGGTAGAGAAATCTCAAAAGAGAATTGCATTCGTAGGATTTTTCTAGCTTGCTCCATGCCCTGATGCTTCAGAGCTAAGGTGCAAACTTTGTTAACTGGATGGTAGTAGTAAAGCACATAGCACTTAGATCTTGCAAGGTGCCTGTACTTGTTTGTTGCCCATCATCAAGGCAGTTAGCTGTTACATGAAACTTTACCTTACACAGAAGCTGTAATTTTCCTTTGTTTATGTAGCTCTAAAACATAGCCCTCACTTCTTCATCTCTGACTTCTACAAATTAACTTCTGGATCCATTTGAAGTTAAACACAAACTTCTACTGACTTTAAGTGGATTCAAGGGAGGTCTTCCTGTGGGAGATATTTTTTTTTTTTTTAAACAGTGTTCCTCACCATACCATAGTGTTATAATCCAGTACGCTGATACCATCTTCATTCACAGCTATCCAGACTGGACAGTCTTCTAATGAGGAAGGCAAAATAGGCTAGAGAAAAAGAAAATTTGATTTGAGTCATTTCTTGAATACTGTAAATAGGCAATTTCTGATACAAAACTTGAGTTTTAAGGATAAAGTGGAGGTGAAAGAATCCTCTAGACTTACTGATCTAACCTGATTTGACTTTTAAGAGATTTTTTTCAAAATCTAGAAAAATATTTTCAGATTGACATAGAATTTGGGAGACTAGCAGTACATGAGATGGAATTGAATCTCAAAATCTTTCTCATTGTTGCATCAGTGTAGTTAAAAGTGAGGATGATGCTGGGACAATGACAGAATGGTAGTTCCACTCTGTTCTGGTTCTTGCACTACTGCCTTCCATCAAGCAGTAAAGCCCATTGGCTTCAATAGTAGTAACGCTCAGAGCCATCATATCAATGCAGTTTTCTTTCTTACTGATTTTGGCAAATGTGTCAGTTATCTGTTCTGTCTAATAACATGTATCTTTTCTGGAAATTTGCTGATGTATGGCTGTTTAACTATTGAAAAGTTACATAATATGGTAGTTATCAGAAATACCAACATTATTTAACCCATTCTGCATTCTTATTCTACACTGTCAAGTAACCTTAAATACCAATAATATTTCTGCTCTAATGCTAAAAGTGGAAAACATGATCTTTATTTAAAAAAATAAATTTTTGCGTATTTACTTGGATTCTCTTTTCATCATTAGATGTAACTATCACAACTTTCTCTTCAAAGTAAGAGACATTAACCATGGGCAAGACACTCTCAGACTTTCAATGGAGCAGAGTTCTGTTGGGTTGGAGAGGATGGTTAATGCCAAAACAAGACTTCTCAGCATGACTGTGTTAAGACATTAGTTATGGCAAGGGTAATAGGTACAGAGCTCAACTCTTGGCTGGGCTGAGGGATGGTACAAGCTTCTGGAAGAACTATTCCCACCTATGATTCTTTGCTCTCCTGCCGATGCCCATGGACTGGCAGATTACCCAATATATGCTTAATTTTTTACATTTCTGCTACAGGACATTATCATTGCTTGCCTGTCCCATGTGGCAAGAAAAGCAGCCTGCTCTTGGATAGAGAGCAGGACTGAAATACTCACACTTTAGCTAGCATCAGCTGCATGGTGTGATTTATGGGGGACTCTTCCTTTTTTCCAAATGGGGGTATGTAAAGAGTACTCTTTAAGCTATTATTGCAGCTTTATGACCAAGAAAATGCCTTTGGTAAAAGCTGTGGTAAGGATTCAGAGGTAGTATTTTGTATTGTGTTGAAAGGATAGTCAGGAAAGTTTCGATGTCTTATTTAGTGAACGCTAGCAACCCCTAGTGTCTAGAATGTATGTCTTCTTTCTGAACAAATGTGGCACTAGAACTGTTCAGAACAGAGCATTGTTAGTTTTTTCCACTTCCTGTAGGAGCATTTTCAATCTTTCAAGGGTTAACAGAAAATAGATATGGCTCTGCTCACAGACTTCATTCTTAGGAGGAAAAAAAGGTGCACTCCTGTTACCTTAGCAGTAAATAGTTTGCTTCCAAAGAGAGGCCATTTGCGGGCCACTGTCAAATAAATTCGAACGCATTCCAGTGGAGAGCATCCCTGCAGCACCATCCATTTTGTTGCCAGCCTGTCAGCCAGTTGCCTTTCAGAGTCCAAGAAAAAAGACAGCACTATTTAATAAAGTCTTTCAAGGGAACATGAGTAAAATTATACTAATAACTAAACCTACCTCTCATTCCAAAGGGCTGCTCTATACAAGCATTGTGGACAAGGCTGTTAGCACTGTTGCTTAGGGTGTGTTGTACAAACTGAGTTTATTTTAGCAGTTTCTCTACTTTGCCAGTTATTTTGCTACTAGTTATACTGTAATATCCAGGAATCCCAGTTGCATGCTGGTTTTTCATTGGTGTATGTACTCAATAACTCCAACAGCAAACACTTGGGCAGCTGTTGCAGTAAAATCCTGCCCAGCTTCACATTCAATTATACTCTCACCTTCATCTTAACCTGTCTATAGTGTGCTCTAGATGCTCTGACAACACACTTCTGCTCCCTCTTGATTTGTCTCTCCTAGGTAACTTAGTTCCACGTTTGCATCCCTAAGTATGTATTCACAAATAGAATTCATCCTAGGCTTAAACTTCTTGACTTGGGGAAAGTTAGTCTATGATTTGGCTGTTTTTGTATGAGTTAACTACTGTTCTTTTTTTAAAGGAATCTTTTTTATGATTCTGGTGTTCTGTTTAAGCTTCTACATTGAAATAAGCTTGACAGGGCTCCTTTAAACTTCTTAAGTATGAAGAGGGCAAATGTACCAAATTGTGTTAAGAGAACAAACAACTTACTTGAGCTGTTCATGAGCAATGTTTTTCTTGTAGTGTTTGGGGTAGAATTTATCCAAGACCTGATGGAGAAGATGCTGCATTTTGGAGTGTGATGTTCCCCCAGGACTTGAAGATGCTGTCCGATCCAAATCCCCATATTCTACCTGTATGGGAACAGTTAGGTCATGGCCTGAACCAGTGATTGAGCACCTGGTGAAGGGGCACAGCCAGCCCTGAGAGCACAGGTGGAAGCAATTCACCTGTGCAGCCAGAACCTCCCTCACCTCATATATGGGCTGGCAGCCACCAGGGAACCATTTTTTCCTTTGGAGTATTCAGCAAGCCCTGATCTTTGGAAAGGGGTAAGTTCCTCTTTTATTACTAGCTCGTGACCTCTGCTTTTCTTGGGTGATCCAAAATTGGTTTAGAGTAACTGTATCTGTTACTGCCTATCCATTCACCGCTTAAAATAATGTTGGGGTTTGTAGCGTAACACAGTGATGAGGTTTTTTAGTGTAATAGAATGTTGCATGGATTCCCATACTGATATCTGCTGTGTTTACTAGTCCTGCAAAACAGCACCATCAGGATGGGGAATTTTTGTCTGTAGCATTTACTACAATAAGTGTACAACAAAACAGCAGTAGGGGACATGACTGCTCAAGGAATTCTTTGTTGCTCTGAAAAAAAACAAAACAACATCTGGGCCAGCACCAGTATGAGGATGCTTCTGCCTAACTGCTAAACTTTTGAGTTTTGTTTTCAACTGGCCAATTAAAACAGCAGCCTGTTGGTAAATAGGATGGATAGTGTTTCCAAGCTTCTTCACCTCAGTTTACGTTGCTTTAGCAAATGCAACAGTTTCAGCTTAAGGAGAAATGATTATCCTGTTCATCATGCCCACAACTCGTGCTTTGTGTTTTATGTGGTAAAATGCTAAATGTAAGCCTGGAGTTTTAATGAAGAATCCTGAAAAATGCTGTTTCTGAGTGCAATGGTGAAAACTTTTACTATTAGGAAGAGTTTTTAATAGTGGTAATATTTCAATATTCCCAGTATGGCCATAATCAAAGCACTTTGGGAAACAGTCCAGCCTCACTGTGTTTTGTAGTATTTTTTGCAGAATGAAAGGAGACTTTGTCCTGTAGTAAATTTCCCTACAGCAAAAGCTGATCTGTCAGTATAGGTTTGCTGGTGCAATGAGTCTGGCGCAGTACACCTCAGAATACATATTTAATAAGAAATATCACTTTTGGCGCAAAACATAGCTGCTTCCTCAAGATGTTCAGTGTACAGGTGTATTCCCTAGAGGACAAAAACAAGGATTTCTGCCCACATTTATGCTCACCTGAGCCATCAGAGCAACCATCTCCAGAGCTAATTCTTTATTAACTGGGAACCTTCCACTGGCTATTTCATTGCTGACTTGGAAGGCCAGCAGCAGCCGCTCCCGGTCTGTCTCACCCTTGGCTTGGCTCCGAAAATACAGCCTAAAATATAGAAGATTGTAAAGGTAAAAGCATGTTGTGAATTTTAGTCAAGGTGAGTAAAAATGAGCGTTTTGTTTGTTTTTGGTCTAAAGCGACTTTTGTGTATTAGAGGGTGATTAGAGAAAAGTTCAGGAGCTAAGGTGTTTCCCTTATGATGAATATCTAGGCCAGGAGGCTCAAATCATGTTGTCTACTTTGGCAGCTATTTGAATTCTGTGAGCCAACCAAGTCAAGATAGCAAAGCGTTATTATACACAGGTAGACGAGCATCGTTCCTATTAACCATTGAGGCAAAACTTAAGAGATGTCATTCTCTGCTTACCACAGATTACAGAGTTAGAGTTTTCTCTGCTATGAGGCAAGAGCTGTGTGACCTTCTACGTGCCAGCCTTGAAGACTTGTTACATTTGCCAACTTTGTTTTGACTGCTTACATTGAAATTGTTATTGAAAATTCTTCAGTTTGCTTTAGCAGGAAATAAGAAACCCGATTATCAGACATTACTGCAAAAATGAAAGAAGCATTCTTGCGATACTACTAAGAAGCTTTGATTTATTCTTTTTACACTTAATTCTTTGACCTGGTACAGCAATATGACTAATGGGGGTTGAAGATACAAGTATGGGGAATGCTTCCTAGAACGATTCCTCATATGAGCTGTAAATAGGCATGCATCATCTAACTCAAATACTAATTTAAAGTTACAGCAATGACTGTATATTCCACGATACCACACAAGATATTCATTCCAGTGGATTACTGTATCAATTTTTATGACAATTTAAGACAACACCATTAGGACCATAGTGGCCTTACATGTCTTATCATGGTCCTTCAGTTTTGGAACAGTCCAACCTTGGAAAGACCTTATCAAAATACCCTTTCTACCCAGTCTAGTCACATTCCAGTCTTAACAAAATAATACTGCAAAGAGTTACTCCTTAAAAAAAATACTTCTTGGTCAAAAGTAATAACTTCTGCTTCTATTACTGTTAAGCCAGCTAATAGAGTTCCCAGAAATGTATTTCCATCATTATAGTCACCAAAATCTTTGTGTTCAATACAAAACTTTGACTTTTCTAATTTAGGTGAGGTTTAATTTCCCTGAAAATGGAATTAATGTGCAGAAGGTCATTACTTGTTCCTATCCACAGATTTCTATTCATTTTAATTCAGAATTCCTCTCTTTGTTATAAATGATGAGCTTGTTCCAGTTTTGTTTTGATCTGTGTTTCATAGTTTTCTTCTCTATCTTTCATCGTCTAGCTTTTAACATTTGTCTTTATGAAGTCTGGGCATTGCTACTACATGTCTTCCCTACAGTCCCTGCCATGTATAATGTTGTTCTTGTATGCTTTTCAACTTCATGATTCCTCACTTAATTGCAAGTTTCATTTATAGTGGTGATATTTTTCCCCCAGGTTTCTCATCCTCTCACCTAATGTTATTTAATTACATTTTAGGATCTAGGCAAGCAAAATTTTGCCAAGTGTGCTTTCTGTATTATAGCTAGTTCTTTAACCCATTTTAAGACTATCTCACCATTGCAAAGTGTTTTTAGATTTACTCCTAGATTGTGTACTCTTTTGTACATGCATACTGCACACATATAAAAGAAATTGCATCACATGTAGGAGTTGACATCGTATTTGCTAAAATAGCTTTGGTGTTAACAGTATTGTACTTCACTGGCTTTCTGCACAAATACAGGCATTCTAGAAATGTTTAATTAACAAGAGGCTGACCTCTTGTGAGGCCAACCAAGAAAACACAGTACCTGCTCTTATAGGTCAATTTCACGATTCTTGTGCCACCTTCATATTTACCAGGATGCAATTCTTTTAAGGCTTGTTCCCATTTAGAAATGACGTCACAGATCTTTTAAAGATATTAAGGAGAGAGAAAAGACAAATGTGAAGCATATAGTCAAGGCTTGATGGGAAAGTAGGGGGGAAAAAAGTGCTATGGAACACAGATTATACAGAAATAGACAGGATCATTATAAAGACAGCCAAAAGTGATAAATTGATTCCTTTTTCTATTACATAGTATGTTGAAAAAATAAAATAGTTGCAACTAAAAACTGAGTCTCTGAATCTGCAGAGGGACACTTATAAGTGAATTCTGGCCTAGTATCAGGCTGTTATGTCTATGTTAGCAAGTTATGTAGCTCGGGGAATGGATGTACACAACAATGTGCTATTGTTAAGACCTTGAGCCCACACTATGGTGTTTTCCTCTGCACTAACTTTACTTTGGTCAAAAGACTTGGAAGTCCACTAGATTGGATCACATTTTTCATCTTGTTTCATGTGAAAAGAATCCAGTTCCTGCTAAGATAGCTTCACAATATGAACCGAAGCATAGTTCATAGGAAAGATTGGTAGGATTGCTTCCAAAGTGCATTCCTGAGCTTACCAAAAGCTGTAATGTATTTTCTGAATGGCAGTCACGTGCATGGTTGGCTAAACCACAGCCCTGTGAATGTTCAAACTCTGGGAACACTTGGATCTAGATTCCAGCTTCATACCTCACATATATTCTTAATAACAACACGGTTAACTATTTTGGTTCAGTTCAGATTCCAGTCCTTTCACAAGTGGTCTAATAAAGGTCCGTAAGTTCTCTTTTGATAGCATTCCAGTAAAAGGAATGTGAACATAAGAAACCATGTGAAATACATAACCAGATACTCCTATCTTCTCTTAAGAAGGTATTGAAGTTGCCTTGGTCACTAAGTAATAACTTGTTAATAAGGACTAAGAGCAATGCCTTTGGTTGTCTCAGTCTCCTTCTCTTAGTCTAATGCTTTATCTCTCTGAACAGCGATTTGATTTCCAGCAAAGCTTCAGATTATCTGATCTGCATCAGGCCAGAAAGCAAAGTTTATTATTTGGCACTGTGTGGTAGTTTCCTTTTTAAATTGTCAAATTTAAAGTTATTGGCCTCTACTCCCTATCTTGGAAGTAGATGCCTATATTGGCGTCTACTTGCCCAAGTGAAATTTTACACTGTAAGTGTAAGTGAATTTTTATATTCCTTACAGATGTCAGGGGTTCTTTGAAGTTGTCACTGCCGCTAGATCCTCCATCAGTACTGCATAGCAAATTTCTCTCATAAGTTAATACAAAAATTTGATGTCTTTCATTCATAGCCACTAGTCTACACAATTCAGGTAGCTGTCCAGCTGCAGCATGAGTAAAAATCTCTGTATGAAAGATGTGTAAGTTAATACTTGAACTGTTTTCCCTTGGTCTAGGCACTCCTCTCTTAAAGTGAAGGTATGCTCAGCAGAGCTTTCTTCTCCTAAGAATACTCCTCAAGCAAAGTTATCTGGAGGAAGCAAAGAGAGAGATACTTCATAATCCAATATTGAAGATTTGTATAAGCATGCCATGAAAATCAGAGCCTAATCTAAATTTGTCTCCACTGGGAGTATTATACTTGATGTTAGTTATGATATCATGTCAGCTAACTCAATCTTCCTTTAATTCTGTAGTTGAGACAAACTAAACTTTAGTATGAGCTAAAATCTGTCTTAAAGCCTTTTTTAACCAATTTATCACCCACCAAAACAACGTGCTTTGTCTTAACTCAGTAGCTTTGATGATATATTAATATTTAATCTCTGAATACGAATCAAGGGAGGCAAGATCCACATGTATTTGATCTTCTTGCATTAAGAAAAATTTATTAGCCAATTAGCAGCTCTACAAAGATGTATGTTAGACAGATGTAGCAGAAGGGGAAAAAGAATTACCTTCATGTTGCCCTGCAGACAGTGTTCCAAATCCCTGCCAGAAGGATCATCTGTGAACAGAGAGAATCCCATGTGGGATGGTTTCCGCATTCCTGTCTCCTGGTTCAACCGGTGGATGAATTCATCAACTGTTGAGGAACCATCAAAACCTACAACCTGTGATGCAATAGGAGCTAATTTAGTATAACTTTCAAAAAGGATGATGCTGAGTATCACAACTAATGAAACCTAATTTTCTACAGATCAGTGTATCATGATTGATTGTGAGCTGCAGTGACTGCATTTATATTATCTGCCTTAACACTGCATTCTTTCTCAGACTGAGACACTTTCAATGTCTCATCCCAGATACCTTTTCTTTCTAAGTTTTAAGGAAAGGGACTGGATTCCTTTCCTGGCTAAAATAGCAAGGAAGAGAAATAATACCTATCTCTAAATGCCTGACATGTATAAACACCATGGTGCTACCAAATCACATAAAGGAAGCAGGTTATGGCACAGTCAAGTGCCCAGAAAAGCAACCATAGTGACTCACCTGGTAGGTTCCATTCATGAAATGCACTGGGATGCTGAAGGGGAGTGAGTGATGGTAGGGATTCCTCAGCAGGATGGACACAATCTCCATTCTTGAGGGCTTGGCTTCCCGTTCACCAGTCTGCACAGTGCGGTCCACTGATCTCTGGCAGTAGATGGCATACTTGCCTATTTCACTCCTAGGCAGGGAGAGAGACATAAATAAATCACAAACGTGCTTTAAATATGTCATTTCCTTCTCCTATGCTGTAGCGAAGCATTTTTCAAGATTCACCTTAAAGTTACATCTCTATGTAGATATCCTATCTGATCTCAACTGAGTAGCTCAGGTAAAAAGTTACAACACAAACCTGAGCTCTGCAGCTCTGTGAAATTCAAGTATACAGTGAGCTCTCTGGAAAGCACATGAGCATTCCCTGCTCCTGGCTGGACTGGACGCAGGAATGCCCTCTTTTGTACCTTGTTGACATAATAGTATTTGTTGAACCAAGACCAGGTAGTTCACCCTTAAACTCACTATCATGCCAGAAGGACTTAGTTACTATCACTGATAGGAACTATCAGTTCCTGATAGGAACTAATCATAAACTATAATGAATTAGCTCTAGTGAGGGAATTATATAAACTTTGTTCATTAATTTGCATGACTATATAAACTACAGGTTTTCATTTATGAAGAATATCTGTCAGTCAACAGGGATTGTTCGTTCATGGCAGGCTCAGATTTGTTGCTAGTTGAATACAGTTCAGGGACAGTTAGTAACGTGATCAGTTTATTGCATAGCAAAGAATTGCTCCACTGACTTGGACCAAAAGGATTTAAGTGTCTCTAAAGCCAGGAAAAAATGGTCAATTACACCTGTCGGAAAAATGTTTAAAATGTATACAGGGAATAACTTCTGAAACTGAATGCAACCCAAGGATTTATATGGGTTCATAAACTCCCACCATTTTGTAGGTGAAGAGGGAGGAGAGCAGCTCCATTCAAGATGACTTCAGGAGCTCGCTCTGTACATGATTAGAACTGTAGTTAAACCCTTGCAAGCAACGTGAAAGTCAGGAGATCCAGGTTTTCTCTGCACTAAGATGCTACTCGCTTCCCCAGTAATGTGTTTTTCATGAGGAAGAATCTTGCTTCTATGAGAAGCTGCTGTTTCTGACTCCCAGATGATCCTGAGCCATCTTCTTGCCTAGAACTGTGCGCAACTTTTCTTCCACTTGTAGAGCATTAGATACAAACTTAAATGTCACCTTTTATGGAAAGCAATACTTAGAATAAAGGTCTTGGCTAAATCTAAATCATAGGAATTATGCAGCATAATTTGGGAGATGATAATGCACGTAGCTGAAGAAGTGGTTTCTGGTACTAAGCAGAAGAGCCCTAATGTATTATCTTAGACAGAGTGTGAATTCTGATGAAATCCTGACATCTGTTTTTTACTTCTGAGAAGAAAGACCAATTGGGAGGCATCATCATCAACAACAACAAACAAACAGAAAAAACGCTTGGTAGGAGTACGTAGATTCTCTTTCCAATGCCAGGAAATGCTAGACTTAGGCCAGAAGTTTGCGTGAGCACTTGTCTGAAATGAAACACTGTTTTACTGATTTCTGAACAAATACTGTTAAAACCAGACAAAGTGACATCTCTACTCATGACCATGCCAAGGACACAGTCAGACATGCTGAAGACCAGATCACCGTGAAAACACACAAAGACCACAGCATGAACACCAGAGAAAAGCTTAGCCCTGCTACAGTATATATTATCCTGTGTAACATGCTAAAAAGGTAACAAAAACCAATAGAAGAATGTATTTCAGGTTTGTTTTTTTTATAGCTTTCTATGGTTCCCCAAGTTGTTATCTTTTTGTACCATCAGTGTTAGCTAACATGACATAAGAATATCATCACCTAAAATTCATTCTGAGTTTAGTCTGTAACTATGAAGAAAAGGAATCAGTTGCATCAGCAAAAGCAAGGAACAAGCAAAAAAAAAAAAAAAAAAAAAAAACACTGGGTAGCTCCAATTATATTTGGAGAAAATTCTGCTGGTTTTGTGAACTAGTTTAATGTAATCGATAAAATGAGTGTGGATGGCTGAAGAGGAACAGCTTGATATCTTTAGGAACCTTCCATCCCTTTCCTCAACTTGTTTTGCAGGTAGGATTACAAAGCAATTCCCATCTATTTCTGTAGCAGATGTGAAAAACAAGAAAACAAAACAAGAAAATGCTGTTGAAGCCTTTACCTGGGGTCGGTGTGGCGCTGCAAGTGCTGCTTGACGTACCAAAGGAAGTGATGCTGGGGCAGGAACAGAGGAGCACATAAAGCCAGGAGCTGCCAGCACTGCAACACAAAGCTTGGTCATAATTGTTGCTCTGTACGTCCTGTCTATTGCCTTTCACAGAATACTGTAAGCAAAATGTTGGATGGTGAGTAGTGCTTTCAGGAGTGACCATTTTTAGACATGCAGTTCATGTATCAAAATTCTCTTTCCTCCAGCACACCTTTTGCATTTTATTAATATTATCAATAGCATTAATATTTACAGATTTGGATTAACAAAGAAGAGTTCACCTGAATGACTGAGTGGTTCTGGGGCTGTCTGCAATTCGTCTGTTTAACAAGCTGACAGAAGATTTCATTCTGCAGCTCAGTATGTGTCAAGCAGACCTGCAGTGCTGTCTGGGCGAGTGACACGTGGTAATCAATTGAGGATGCTTCCACAGGGACATTGATGAACAGCTGGCAGGACTGTAAAGTGGGGAAGTTAATCAGTGCTGTTAATACAGTGACTCTTTGGTACTTTCCAGCCCCGATTCCCCAAACATGTTATAGACAATTCTTCTAAAAAAACCTGAAAGGAAACATATAATATTAGATATTTTTATCCCTACCTCTCTTACATCCCTTACAGATGTGGCAACTGGAAAATTCACGTAGCCTTCTCCAATCAGGGAAGCTCACAGTTCAGCAGAAGAATCAGGAAATTGTGCTTCCCACCTTTCGTGTCCACGCTTTACTTTGCTATGATTATTTACTCTTAGTGCTGATCTTACACTTTTGAAGTGCAAGCTAGAAGTGCAGGCTCTGAGCACCGTGATCTAGCTGTAGGCGTCCCTGTTCATTGCAGGGCTGTTGGACTAGACAATCTTTAAAAGTCCCAACTCAAACAATTCTATAATTCTGTGAACCAGATCTCCAATGGCTTCACAACTGATGTTACTGCCACAGCTGAGTTTGCCAGAACAATGTTTTCTTCAGTCCAGCTGACAGAGAGGAAAGAGGAAGGTATGGCTAAGTTTGAAGTACAAAGCCTCCGTGGAACATTGCTCCTAGCTTCAGATTCTCTACAAGGAAAAGTTAAACTTCTAAAAAATGAATGACACCTGATGTTTGACTGTAATTGAATGACCCAGTAGGCCTGTCTAAAGCAACCAACTGTGATGGTAAATGTTAACTAACATGACCAATGCTGTGTCCCAGTAACTGAGCAAAATGGCTGAAAAATATAATGTCCCTTTACCTTGAAAAGTTTCAGAGCTTCAGTCTGCAGAGCCTCAGAAGGCAGAGTGGTGAGGGACATGTGCAGCCCATCTTTACTGTAGCACAACATAGGGTGTTTCCACAGTGGAGAATCTGAAGTAGCAGATAGGCAAAAACATGCATTGTCAGAACCAGAAGATAGGTAACAGTCCTCATATTGAAAAGGAGCCTTGTTGAGGAAGAAAAACATACTGGGAAGCAGCACTGTGCTATGCTATATTTATCTTTGAGGCAACTTGGCTGATCATGGCAATGCCTCCTGTGAGAGAGAGTCCACCATCAGTGTTAGGCATCAGCAGAAAGAAGCACTTCCATCCATGACACAGAGCTCCTTGTCAGTTAGTTTCTGGTGAGAAAGTGCTCAGTTATATATTCAAACAGGAGATACAAACTGCCAGGACACTTATGTGCTATGAGAATCTTTATTAATGCAAGTTACAATTCTACAGTAAGCAAGATAGGTGTAGGAATATGTGAGTGTGCAAGATAGAGTACAAAGAACAAACATACCTGTTAATATGCATGCAACCTACTCTAGGGAACCTGCTTTAGCAATGGGGTTAGACTTGATCGTCCACAGAGTCCCTTCCAACCCCTGCAATTCTGTGATTTGAGAACGTGGTGCACAAGTGTACGTGAATGAGTAAGTACCAGAGACGAGGAGGAAAAGATGAGCATGGAGGTAGATGTTAGGATTTATACATGTGGACAAAAAAACAGATCTGAAGGCAAGTGTGTGTGTGTGTGTATTTAGAGTAGAAAAGAGAGAATGTGTTTGTACTGTCTAGATTCCCATGAAAGGGATACCAGGACCAACAAATATAGAAGCAAAAAAAAAACAACAAAGCCCCAGTTATTTGAATTTGAGTAAATATTACAGAAGTTTCATGTGCTTTGATAAAAGACGTAACGCTGTTACAGACTTGCTATGTCATTACAATGCCTATACTCTCCCAAGATGTTATTGTGCTAGTAGGAGGGAAATGCACTGTATCATATGCTATTCTACTGAGAATCTCCTTTCTTCATCTCTGACTGAATTAAAATTGAGGATTTAAATTACTTTTCCATATGTTTTGCTACTGTACAAAAAGAGTTTGCTGTTTCTACTTACTAGGGTCTCCCTCTGCATCCAACAGTTTTCCAATGAGTTGCTCGTATGATGTGCCCACTGTGGCATTCCTGCTACCAGCTGCTACTGTCAGATGGTAGAGCCAGGTATCCTAGGCATGAGGATGAAAACAATATGGAACAAATTAAATCTTGTTTTCTACACATAGCTTTATTCCCCATACATTGTCTGATACCAAAAACTCTCTTGCTCTCCAAAAAAAACCCCATCATTCATACCTTCTCCTGTTTTGTGCGAATGAGTAAGTATGTGGGACTCTGGTCTTGTGGGTGAATGACCAAAGTGCAGTGGGATGAGAGAAGTCCTCCACCAGTGGTTTCATAATCTTCATCAGAGTCACAGGAACGGTCTACTTCTTCCACTTTGGACTCACGCATAGGTAGGTGCCCTAAGGGACACTAGAAAGATGAAGCAAGCTAGGTAACTCCAGCTAATGATCTGCTATGGACAAGGAACATTGGGAAAGAAGCTCTATCTCAAAATGTTAGCAGTTCTGTAATATGTGAGTAATTAATTATAATTCAGTCCTTAACAATAAAGTTAAATCATCTCACACTTGTACAGAAGCTTCTCCATGAACTAAAGTATTTTCAAACTCTGGTATTACTTCTACTATATTTCTTTTGGGGGCATTTACAGGTCAGAATGAGCATATGAAAATAAAAAGATGATTTTCCTTTAAGCTACTGCTTTCCTCTCATTAGCTCTTTTTGTACCATTAGTTTTGCAGTGTAGGATGTGCTTTCTGATGGTCAGCTGCCCAGTATCTTGAGCCACTGGGTTCTAATTGTGGTCAGACTTTCTGGATACTACTGGAAAATAAGTACTTTTAAATTACATAAATTGGTAGATTCAGACAGACAGAGGATATCTATTGTGTTAACTCTAGAAGCTGATCCCAAGTATGAATCACAGTGTTCCTTGATAAGCTAAAACTTGGGTTTAGACATTGTTTAGAAAAATAATGGAGCACTGGGCCAAGTTTTCTAGAAACAGAAGAACATTACGCTGATTAAATGACTTTCCTCATTCCATCTTGTTGTCACTACTTCTTTTCATTACAATACGCAAAATATATCAGCTGCTGTACAAAATAGCTTGCACTAAAGTTTTCACTAGACCTAATGTAGCAATTGAGAAACAAGACCCATGGTGATCTCAGAAACAGCAGTCACTTGCCTTTCAAGACTTTTGTAATTTTATATGATGCGGGTTTTTTCCTTTAGCTATTTCAGGAGATCATGTAGAAGAGACTATTAGAAGGGGAGAAGTACAAGCAAGGAAGAGTTAGAAACGTGAGAGCCAGAAGCAATAAAAGGAAAGAAAATTTCGTAATTGGGAATGGAGGGCTCAAGAAGAGTTACCTTATCCTCATGATTTCGGTAGTAGTAAAAAGTTTTTCCAATCAGTGCACACCAGACCAGCTTAGAATGACCATGCTTGACCTATATGAAGGAGAAAGAAATGCACAATGTTTTTAACATCAGCGGTGCTGTGGCCAGTTTTATAGAAGTTCCATTTTCAATTAAATGTTGCTTATACTACTTGTTGTATGTTAATATAAGCTCCTCCCAAAGCACACAGGGCACCATTTCCAAAAGCAAGTAGGTAGATCCCAGTTAAGTGTCTGGGACATAGGTGTTTGTGGAAATGTCATAGAGGAGAATAATTTCCAGAACCTGTACTTTGTACCAATGCGGTTACAGTCTGTTACTGTGGAAGCAAATCTTCTGCTAAAACTATACAAGACATGTCCTTAAAACTCTCCTACATCACCAAGTTCAGATCAGTTAAATGAGAAGCTTTACACTTTCTTGGTATTTGTTTATTAAACTATGAAATGTTGTGATTTATGTTGGAGGAAAGCCTACATAAACTATGTCTGTTACTACTTTATTATCCAACAAAGTCAGTATCTCTTCATAGCCTTGTTTGTCCCATTCCTTATCATTAATGTAAACCTTCATCTCTGACAATCCTAAGTTTACTGCCAGTTTTCTTTGTTTCACATTCTTCTAGGAAATATTAAAATACTAACTTCTTGCTGACATTTACTGTACAAACCAAGAAGCTGGTACTCTGTCAATACTGAACTAAGCTGAATAAAGTCAAAAGTAGTATTTTACCTTAGTGAGCCAACCTTTCACAGTGGGTTTAGTATCACTGTGAGGAACTCCAACAGGACTGGTCACTTGTACTCTAAGAATACTCTGTAGGACATGAATCCATTCCTCCAGGATGTTGGGAGAGTCTGCTGTCAGGAAGTAGGTTCTTTTCTCCGTCATGAGCTGGAAGGAGAAGGAATGAGGAAGTGTAAATCTGCACACCTTCATTCTTGTCATTATTTGATGAATTTCATTATCCCATTAGATTTTTTCCTGGTAGTTGAGGAGGGATATTTTTGCGTAAGAAAAAAAGTGCTAAAACTCCAAGCCTGAATGAAAGATATGAAACTCAGATAGATAGCAAATTCCTGTGAGTGCTCTTGCTGTTACTCTTAGATACTGCAGCTTTACCTGTCTCTCATCCTGTTTTGTTTTCAGTGCTGATTATAGAATTGTTTAATTGGAAGGGACTCTTAAAGGTCGTCTAGTCCAACTCCTCTGCAATGAATAGAGACTCGTACAGCTGGATCAGGTTGTACTTCTCCCTCTCTGCCCTTACTACGTGGCATTTCTGAGATAGCAGCTACTTTCTTAGGTCAGTGAGTACCCGGACACAATGACCCCACTGATGTTGATAAGTATTCATTTTAAAAGTTGCTGCAGAAATATTTTTTGTTGCTTTAACTTTGTATTAAATAGTTTGGCAATCCAAGAAGAAAGACGCCATGAATTTAAGAGTATTAAGCCTTAGCAACTTCAATTTTGTAAACGCGGAAGGTAGTTTCCAGGCCAGGCAGTGTGGCTTTCAGTCCAAGTATGACAGAAATTTTAATGTCTCCATTATAGTGAACTCCTTTAAAAATAAGGGCTTAAAAACCCAGTGAAGAACTGACTTGTAATGTTTGGAAACTGAATTCTAATAGGAATCCAAAGCTTTAGGTATTTCTTCAGATTCTCCATACATAACCTTAGCATAGTTTGGGTAGGAAAGAACCATTAAAGAACATCTGATCCAGCTTCTGCCATGGGTAGAGACATCTGTCACTACATTACACATGTAAAGTCAGTGAGAGGAGTCTTGCAGAGCAGATCCTATGTACTCTCTGACTTTAGTTGTTGTAAGAATTGCTTTTCTCTGTAGTTTACAAGTTCTCAAGTTGCAAAAAGGAAAGTGCTATAGTCTAAAATCAAATAAGGGAGAATTTCTTTCAACATCAAAAAAGCTGCATTTGGGTTACAATTTCTCCATTATTATTAAAACTTGTCTTGTGCCAGGAAACAGGAGCCAAAGTTAGCTCTTATCAGTTGAAGATGTACAGTACCATTCTGCCTGAAATAAGTGCTCACTCACCCAGACATCAAGTGTACTGTTACCTGCAGGATGAAAAAGGAGTGCTTACCTGGAATGTTTGGGACCCTTCACCTCTGACAATTTGGCATGAGGAATTTAGCTCCATCTGCCCTTGTGGTTTGCGGATAACATCACTCTGGGGAAAGAAAAGCAAACAACATTTTAAGTAGGAAGAAATTATATGTATAATTTATATGTATAATCTCAAAGTAGTTAAATACAGCATTAAATAAATTCTTGTGCAGGTTGAAATCTGAGAAGGACAGAGGTTGAAGATTGCCAGGTTAAATAAGACAACAATGTGATCCCTTTACAGTAGTGAAATAAGTCTCCTTAGCAGTGACAGACAATACAGCAAGGGTAAAAGCAACAAGTAGCATCTTAGGAAGCTCATATTGGACATTAGGAAAAAAGAATCAACAGCAATAAAACTTTCTTACTAGGAAGGCAAGACAACTCAAAATAGGTGCCCAGATTTAATGACTTTCCACCTTTGGAACTTTTTAAGACTCAGCTAAAGAAAGCCATGGCTGATCTGGTCTATAGCTGGTGATAGTTCGCTCTCAGTGCACATCTTCCAGAATTCCCTTGCAAGCAACAGTCTGGGTTCTTTGCATGTATTAAATTATGTGTGTATGTTATATATGTACAATTTACTTGTAAATCATGATAGATAAACATAGTAGCAGAAATAAAGATGCATTGTGCGCTAAGGTGTATTTTTGCATTGTCAGGATATGATGGAGAAAAAAAGTTGGAAATATATTTTATCAGTGTTTCTGACTGTCTGGGAACTGTTTGAGCACAGCCTGAATCAGTGATGGAGCATCTGGTGAAGAGAGTGGTGAGCCCTGGGAGCACAGCTGAAAGCAATTCACCTCTGTGACCACAAGAAGTGAACCCAGGGTCCACCCCTCCATAACCTCATTTAAGGACTGGTAGTCAAGGGGAAAACATTTCTGAGAAAATTTCCTTCTGGGAGCTTTTCACTGTGTTCTTGCCTTTGGGACAGGGTAATTTTTTTTATTATTTTTTTTATTTTTTTTTTTTTTTAATAGCTTCTTATTCCTATCTTATGTGTAGCTTTGTTCAAGAGGAGAAAAAAATAGGGAAGGGGAATATTCCTAAACTAAGGTAACTTCACTTAGGATGCTTCCAAGTTATAAAAATAGTTGAAAGAGTTTGAATGCACGTGCTCTCTTGATATTGTTTCATTAATTATTGTAAGAGAAAACATTCCATATGAAAATCTTTTTTAAATTGTATCCTACTTTCCTAACACTTTCTTATCAGTTTGGAAGGCTCTGTGAAATTAGACAGCTTGGCTTTCCCTTCAGTGATAGCTTTTTTTTTTTTTTTTTTTTTTTTTCCCCCCCTCCTCTCTTCAAAGCCCCATATATTTTCTTGGTAAGTACTGTGCTCTCCTGGTATTTTCCTTTATTGTCATCTTAAACCTTACCAAACAGTATGCCTTCTTTAGCCATCTATATGGAGTCAAGTAGAGGCATCAAACACCTGCATCTGTGAACAGCCCTCCATCTCCCAGAAGCTACATCTCCAAGAAGATTTCCTGCCTGAGCAAACAATCCATTGTTGAACATGTGGGTGAAACACATAACTCTCTGACAGGGTGCTTGGTGGTAAGCTTAGCCACAGCTGCACATTGTGCCAGTGCTGTCTGGAAGCAATTTTGCAGCCAGCCTTCCTTCTATGCTTCCTCACACAGGTAAGTATCTCTAAGTAAGTGACTCACCGGAGATTTATAGTACATGATTTGTCTGTTTCTTAGTACAAACCATCGTCTCTTCCACATCTTCACCTGGCTGCCCATTTTCAGCAAGTAACCTGATTTCTCCATGGGTTCCTGGAGGTAAGAGAGCAAAGTAGGATTACCACGAACCTTTCAAAATGCAAAGAAAAGCATAAAATTGAGCTCAGACATTTACTGTATCTTCTTCACATTCCTCTTTACTCTGCCAGGTGGAATTAGCAGCCATCCAACGTCAGTGATCTTCACTTAGTTTGAAAAAAAGCCCTACACCACGTGTCCAACTGTTTGACTTGCCTGAGCCACATATAAAATATATAATTAATATATATACATAATAAACTACTTCTAATTTTTAATTAAAACATTAAAAGAAGGCAACAAAAACGTAAAACTAGTGGGGTATTTGATTTAGTTTTGTGAAACTAATGCACAGATCAGCTGTTTGTTTTGGGGTTTTTTTCCACATTGAAGATATTTGTTTAACTCTTTTAAATGGCCAGTCAAGTTCACTAGAACTGCTAAAGCTGTGAGCCATTTTAATCACAGAACAGTAGAGGCTGGGAGGGTCTTCAAGACATCATTGAATCCAACCCCCTGCTAACTCAGATCCCTCAAATAGGTTGCATAGATAGGTATCAAGATGGATCTTGAATATTTCCATAGAAGGAGGCTCCACAACTTCCCTAAATAACCTGTTCCAGTGCTCCATCACTCATACCATTAATAAGTTCTTCTATGTGTTTGCATGGAACTTCCTGTATTTTAGGCCATTGCTATTTGTCTTATCATTACGCACTACTGAGAAGAGCCTGGCCACATCCAACTCCCTTTAGATATTTATAAATATCTAATCACCACAGCATGATGTTTAAGTGAAGAAGTCACTATCCTTTCTTCCTTTGAATTTCCAAACTTGCTTAGTCATAAAGGTATAAGGCTGTCACTGAAGGAAAATATGGCTTCAAAAATACAATATAGATCATCAGGAAGGAATACAGTCCTCAGTGCTTATACTTTTCTCTTACAGTGCAAATTCCACCATCATTGGAATATGATGATGTCCGTTGTAGCTTGTGCTCTGGCTCTGAGTAATCACCATCCAAGGAATAGGCATCAGGAGGGACAGCATAGTCACTTTCAGAGCTCACTGAGGACATAGAAACACCTGTTAAAAACAAAGGAAAGAATTATAGCTAGGTAGAAGCAGGCACAGGTGTAACATGTATTTGATACTGCATACTTTTGAAAAATCCTTGAGTTCAACATTGAAGTTTCTTTGCTCAATAACATGTTATATCAGAAGATGGAAATTCAAAGCACACTAACCAAACTTCGGAGACTGTTCTTTTTGTAGGGAAAAAAAGATTTCTGTGAATGTTTCACCATTGGTGGGCGTTGCTTACTCATCACAACAGATGTTAAGACCACACGTAATGAGGTTATACTTTATTGACTGCAAATTGTAAAGAATTTTCTACTCTAGGATCCAGTTTAACCTCTCCAGAAAACTGCCCTAGCCAGGACACAAATTACTTGGTGCCTCTCAAAGGTAAGAAACTTTTCAATTAATTATCAGTAAATGGCAGATTTAAAAAACAAAGCAAAACAAACAAACAACAACAACAAAAAACTTTAACATGTCAATATAAACTTGCTTACAAGGAGAAGTCATAAAAGGGAGGGGTCTAGAGGACAAGACTTATGAGGAGCAGTTGAGGGAATTGAGATTGTTTAGCCTGGAGAATGCCCAGAGGAAACTGTTGCACTCTACAACTATTTAAAGGGAGGTTGTAGCAAGATAGTGGTTGGCCTTTTCTAGCAGGTAACAGTGACAAGATGAGAAGGGATGGCCTCAGGTTGTGCCAGGGGAGGTTCAGGTTGGATACGAGGAAAAGTTTCTCAAAAACAGTGGTTAGGCACTGGAATGGGCTGCCCAGGGTGATGGTTGAGTCACTGTTCTGATAGGTGTTCAATAAGCACTTAGGTATTGTACTAAGGGACATGGTTTAGTAGGGAAATGTTGATGGTATGTGGATAGTTGGACTAGATGGTCTTGGAGGTCTCTTCCAACTTTGGTGATTCTGTGAAAAGCTATCAATGCTCCACTGTATGATGAATTTGAGGAATAATCCTTACCATCATCTTAGTTTAGCAACTGTCTGGATAGAAAGCTGCTAGCAGCAAAATCCATCTAAGAGGACAGGTTTCTGTTGAGTAGCTGTTGATGTCTTCATGCATGCTGTGAGAACTTGCATTTGCCTGTGTGCCACTGATGTTGTTCAGGACAGTTTGTAGGGAGAACACATGTGCTGCTCAGTAGCAAAACTCCCACTTTACCTCTTTTTGTTGCACGAGGGCTGCCTGGCACACTAGCTTTCCTGTTTTCAGATCCAGCAGCAGAATTCCTGAAGCTGGCATGGGAGCCACAGTCATCATCGGAGCCTGAAGACTCATCTAAGAAAGGCACGTTGCTGATCTGTGTGGCTTTCTGGAAAACAGGCCTATATGGTCAGCAAGTAAGGGAGGAATTTCTCCAAGACAATCCCTGTTCACATTGCTTTGACTAATACTGTTCCAAGACTCCTCATTTTTCACCCTTTCACTTTCTAGGCTACAACCACTATCGCTGCTAGGTTTCTACAATATCATGGCTCAAGTTGCAACTTCCTGTACCAAAACTTGCTGCAGCATTCTCTGTTTCCTTATAAATTTATCATTTCCTGTTCCTTCTACATTCTTTTGATCTCCACTCCTTAGCATTCTTTGATTTTTCTTTTCTTCTCTGCACAGCTTCAATCCATTCTGTCTCAAACTATTGGTAGCCCTGGCCCATGCTTTTCATAAAAGAGGGAAAACTGAAATAACTCCTTACCCCCTTCAATGTAGTGTAGACTGGAACTGTGATGTTTTTGTAGATGAGACAGGTAAATGTCCCAGAAGCTGAATATGAGAAATTTGAAACTGGGAAAATTCAGAGAGAGAACAAAAAAAAAAAAAAAAAAAAAAAAAAAAGAGAGAGAGAGCAAAAAATACAATCTGGTGAAATGAAACAGATTTTAATGAAGAGGTACACATGTTTGTACCTTGTGTAGCCACTTGGAACACAATGGAGGACTGCCATCCTGGACTGTTTGGCCTCAGAAAGCCTAGAGGTTGCATTACTTGTTACATACTACTATCAGAGACAGCTGCAATGTTCCTTTCATTTAGCCTGTAAGACATCTTACCCCCCCCGCCCCCCCATGCTCCCCATGGTGTGATGGCAGTTGAGCAAACCAATCCTGAACAGGTTAAAGCCAAAAGGGGCAACTTGTTCCCTGCTTCACTGGGAACTTTTTCATAGCTACCTTCCCTGGCTCACAAACAGGGACAAGTAATGGTGAAATCACATGGCCAAAAGCATGTCACTGGCACACAGGGCCAGAACAGTTTCAGTAAAACAGAGATAACAGAATCCTGTGGAGAAGTTACTGAATACATGGGCTTAAAAAATTCAGCAACAGTCACTGCCCTTTCTTTCTCTGTTACGGTTATCTGATAAATCAAATTTACTTTGAAAACAGGCAAGTAAATGAAGAAGTATAAATAGCCAGTTGTTCAGATTCCTACGCTGTCACTGTAATTGCTCTCTAAGAATGAATCTTGTCTAGAACTTACAGCAGCTGGGAGTGTCATTCACAGTGGCCACTTCAGACATCCTCATGCCAGACTTGGCCACGGCATAGATTCGGCTCTCCTGGAACAATACAATACCATGAACAGCAATGGTCAGTCAAAAACACCAGTCCTGCAAAAAAGAAGTGCTCATGGATCACATATCCTTTTTGGTCAGGAAGGAATGGCTCTCCAAGAAAAATTGTTCCATTCCACCAGATGTTGGATAAATGACTGTTAGTGGAAATGTGCATACATGTAATTCCCTGAATCACAACAGACTTGGTGGACAAGAGTGCTAGAGATGACAATTGCAAAATGGAGCATATACATAAAATTGTAAATAAGTAACTAAGTCTCAGCTTAGAATAGTTTTTTTTTTCCTCTTCTTTTATAAACAATGCATTAAAATAATCAAGAACAGCTCTAAAACAGGATAATTTATTGAAGCACCACCAGCAGAGGATTTCCCTTCTCTGATAAGGGAACGAAGGAAACACTTAAAATGATCTTTATGAGCTTGTGACTTAGCTACATCAACAGACAGAGCTTTCAGTTCTAAAGATCTCCAAGTGCTTCACAAATTATTTTCAATGGAGGAAACTTAAACCTGTAACTAAAAGCAGTGTTCCAACTAAGACAGTGTAAATTTGATAGAATCAAAGCTGGAAATCTGGATCCTCCTGCTGCTCCTTATAACGTACAGTCACTATCAAGTGTCAGGCAACACACGTGCATATACCTTACAGTACCTGATGACTGAGGAGTCAAGCATGCCAAAAACAAAAGTAACAGGCTCAGTATTATTTCTATATTTATGCAGTGTTATTCAGTCTCTAGTGAAATGCGTGCATTTTTTTCCCTACATACTTCCTATTCAGGATACAAAATCACAGAGAGTGGCTGAGACTGGCAAGAACCTCTGGGTCCATCAGGCTCAACTCCTGTTCCAGCAGGAACATCCAGAAGGCAGTTCTCAAACCCAAGTCTAGGTGGCTTCTGAACATCTCCAAGGAGGAGACCCCACAACCTCTGGGCAGCCTGTGCCAGTGCTCCATCACCTGCACAGAAAAGAGCTGCTTCTCAGTGTTCAGACAATCTTTGAATCTTCTGTGTTTCGGTTTGTGCCCACTGCCTCATGTCCTATCACAAAAGAGCACCAAAGAGCTTGGATCCACCTTCTTTGCACTCTCTTTTCAGGTATTTATGCACACTGGAAAGATCCTCCAAGCCTTGTCCCTCAGCCTTTTCTCATAGGAGGGACGTTCCTGTCCCTTAAGCATTTTATTAGTTCTTTACTGGACTTACTTCAACAGCACAGTACTCCAGGTAGGTATCATCTGCCTCAGCCTGCTGTCAGTGCTTTTCCTAATGCATCCTAGGATACTACTGACCTTCTTGGCCACAAGGGCACGCTGCTGGCTCACGGCAGTCTGGTGTCCTGGTCCGTATCTGCAGAGCTGCTTTCCAGCAGGTCAGCCCCAGCCTTTTTATTCCTTCCTGGGAGCAGGATTCTGCACTTGCCTTTGTTGAATTTCAAGAGGTTCCTCTCAGCCTAGCTGTTTAGTCTGTCAAGATCCTTCTGAATGGCAGCACAGCACCCTGTGGCACCACCCACTCCACTCAGTTTCAGCAGTAAACTAGCTGAGGAGAAGCTTTATCACTTCAACCAAGTCACTTAATGATTAGTCTGCTATTTAATAATGATACTAAAATACACTTCCCTGACTCTGTTCTGAAGAGAAAATAATGGATTTTCTCATAAACTTTTCTTTGACTATGCTGTCAAGTTTTGTTCCCAACATGGTTCCATATGGACTGAATACAGAGAGGTTCTTTCAGAAAAACAGTTGCCATTATACTGGGATTTAAACTGATATCATAAAGGACACATCCAAAGATCAAAAATTAAGATTTCATAGTAAAAATATTATAAAACATGAGAAATAACACTGCGCCTTCAATTTGCACCTTCAATAAGCCACTTGTTTGCCAACACCTTTAAAAAAGCAAATTGAAAAGAATGGAATTATCTCCTAGGATATTATATTGTTGTTTACCAAGTGTATCAGTTGGATTGACAGATTAGGAAGAGGACAGCCATTTGAACTAAATAGTAAGAACATGACAACAGAACTAAGGATTAAGTTTTGATGACTCATAAGGATGATACACAATGCAACATTTCTTGACTTTCATTTTTTTTCCTGTCTGTATCTTGATTATTATTTTTCTTTGACTGTTTTTTTCTTATAAAGTAAAAAGAATAAGAAAACTATCAGTGGAAGTAACATGCCCCATGATTGAAACTGTCAGAATAAGTGGTTCAGAAATGAAATCTATATCACCAGGAAACAGTTGTCTGATATCAAAAGCTGCTCTAGTTAGCCACTGGGCACCTCTCAAAGATGAACAACACCTCTTGGACTGTTGTCCCTGCATTTCTTACCCAGGAAGGAAATCTGTGCAGAGGTGGTGTGGGAGGTTTACCTCCTGGTTCAAGGACACCAGCCTTAGAACGCACAACTTCTCTCTGTTCTGTAGGTAAGTGGTTAATCTCACACATTCCAGCTTCTTCCCTCACCAAGTCACCTTCTGTCTCCATCTTCTCCAGCACTGCGTCATCGTCAATGTCTGTCTCCTCCACTGGCCTGTGACAGACTGAGGAATCTTTTATGGGCTGGAAGGTGCTAGCCTCGAAGCTCATTACACGACAGGAAGAACTAGTACCTGACTGTGGTTGACTGTAATGTCTTTTGGCTAGTTGGATACTGTCTCTTGGTGTACTGGGAGTTCGTATTTTTGGAAAGGTCATACTTATGCTAAGTCCATGTTCTCTCTCTGGACGGGTGGAACATGCTGTAACGGCAGATGCTGACACAACTAGGGGTGGCTCAGCAGTTTGAAGATGGCCCTCAAAGATGCTCATTATTTCTCCTGAGAAAGAAGAATCCAAACAGTGGGAGTGGAACCTGGCATTCAAATCATCGGGGAAGCTGGCTCTGTCCAAAGTCACTTGTTTCAAGGTGCTCACAGTGCTATGGTTACTTGCTAAAGATGACGGGAAAGTCAAAGCCCCTAGGAGTTTTGTAGGCACGACTGGAGGATCCAGTGATGTGGGATCAGAGCACCCTAGACTGTGTTTTGAGCTTATGGCTGAGAACGTGTCTTTCTCTGTGGAGAGATTCCAGCTTGATGGGTCAGTCAAGAGCTTCAGTGTGTTCTGGGAAAGCAGAGATTTATCCTCTTCTTCCTCAGTAAAGTTATCACTGGCCAGGACTATGTTTGTTGTTGAATGGACACGTTTGGTCAATCCTGTCTGACACACCTGTCTGAAAGCAGGTGCAAGGAGCCCAGATTTCTGGTCAATCTTCTCAGGATAAGAGACCTGTGGTGCTCTGGGCTTCAGAGAATTACAGCTCCAAAGAGATTCCAAAGGAGGAATGCTGGTCATATCTATGATGAAGCAGAATATATGGTTAGGGCATTCAAATTCTTTACCGTCAAAAATGTTTCTTGCTAATGTAATTTGTTCCAGTTGTATTTCAGCAGCAGCCATATCAAGACAGGCTAGAGGAGAGGCTCTGACCTAATCAGAACTATAGCCATCTCTCTTCCACAGGGACAGTTACAAGAGGAGTGTTAAATATTTAGAATGGTACAGAAAAGATGAATAGGAAATGATTAAATGATTAATCACAGTTTCTTACAGAAATGGAACTGAGAGACACCTAATGAAATTAGAAGGCAGTGTGTTTGAAATTCACAAAAGAAAGGTTTTTTTGTTTGTTTGCTTGCTTTTTATTGTTGTTTATTTTTTCTCCCTGGTCAACCAGAAGACAAGATACTGACCTAGACAAGCTTTCAGTTTAACCCAATAGAGTAGTTGTTTATTTCTTACTTTTATCCATATTCATGTCTCTTGTGTTAGAATTGCTCAGGTTGGAAAAGACCTTCAAGATCATCAAGTCCAACCACAACCTAACCATACCACCCTAACTAATAACCCTCTGCATAATCATGTCCCTGAGCACCACATCCAAACAATTTTTAAACACATCCAGGAATGGTGACTCAACTACCTCCCTGGGGAGTCTACTCCAGTCTTAACAGCCCTTTCAGTAAATAAGTTTTTCCTGATATCGAACCTAAACTTACCCTGGCACAACTTGAATCCATTTCCCCTCATCCTATCACCTGTCACCAGTGAGAAGAGACCAACCCCGCTCTTAAGACAGACATAAGAAGGAAATGCACCTGTCTACACAATGTTCTGTCAAAAACCACCTAGGTGGCCCGGAATACTGGTTAATGTGGATCTTTTGTCTTCAATCCTTCCATTCATTTCTACTGAATGAGAACTTTAGAGGATGAGAAAGTGTGGATACAACTTTGAGTAGCAGAGGATATTATTTATCCAAGAAACCTATGCTAAAGCCCTGCAAATTTTCTGTGGCTCTTGCTCACCATAGCAAGCTCCTGTGGTATTCCACTGGATACTATAAACTCAGGCCTTTATTTTCTAGCACTAAGCTTAAGAAAGAACACCACAAACAACCATGTTGTAGGTTCAGTCTTTCTTCTGTACTGTTAGAACAGGGACAACAAACCTCAAGGAGCAGCTATGCCTGAAGAGGAGATCAGGGGAGGCTTCATGGCAGCTTACAGCTTTCTCATGATGGGAGTGGAAGGGCAGGTGCTGATTTCTTCTCTCTGGTGACAGCAACAGGACCCAAGAGAACAGCATGGAGCTGTGTTAGGGGAGGCTCAGGTGGGGACAAGGTTCTTCACCAAAGTGTGTTCAGGCACTGGAACATGCTCCCCAGTGCAATGATCTAAAGCCTGCCAGAGTTCAAGCAGCATTTGGACAGCACTCTCAGACAGAGGGTTTGGGTGGTCCTACGAGGAATCATGAGAGGGACTCAGTGATCCTTGTGGGTCTCTTCAACTCAGGATGTATTCTGGTATTCTGTATTCCGCACTGCATCTGTGCCAACACTCCTGCAAAGCTGAAAGAAGATTGGGAAGAAAAACTCCCCAGATCTCCCTAGGCCAGGCTCATCCATGTTTTGGTGGTGGGTTTTTTGTTTGTTTTTTTTTTTTTTGGGTTGGTTGGTTGATTGGTTTGGTTTCTGTTAATCTAGAAGTCTAGAGCTTTGCCATTTTAATCTTTGGTTGTGATAAAACCCTATTTCATTTTTTTCATGTCTAATCTTCTCAACTACTCTTTTCTAGACCACTAGAAATTTCTGGAAGTCTAGCTAAGCTACATACATAATTTCCTGCAAGATGGGATGTGGTCACTTAATCACTTAGTGATTTTCACTAACCTTAGCATTTATATTCTGCCTTATTGAAAAGCAGCAAGCCACAACATGCTGTATAATTTGCGTAAAGCTGTGCAGAGTCACATTCACCACATATTACGAAAAGCACTGCTTGAACAAACTCCACAGGAATTGTTTAAACTCCAGAGAGATTTAAGAGGAAGTAGAAAAACGCTGAAGACACAAAGTAACAAAGGGAAGCACAAACAGCAGAATAAATCACCGTTAATTGTGGAGAGGCCAAAGCCCACTTTCAGAAATACAGCTGAGAAAAAGACAATCAGAGCTGTTCTGACCTTGGCAACTGATCCCAAGAAACTGGATGCTAACAAAGCTATTCCTAACACACAGGCCTGACATGCATTTTTGTTAGACTGAAAAAAGCCATTCATTTTAAGTAAAATTGATAGTTTTGCAGCTTGCTAGATGTGACAGTAGATGAAGCAGAAAAGCTCTTAGTATTAGCATGGCAAGCAAAAAGATTTGTCCCTCTGCAGGGGCCTCTGAATTTAGCCTGGCACGGTGAGACCAGTGGGGAATAGAGTAGAACTATTTACTGCCCAGAGCACTGGGCTACAGGGAACACTTAATACCAGATTATTAACGCAGCTTACCAGCCATTCACTTTTTGTAAACAGCTAGAGCCAGAGGGGATGAGAAAAACCCAGCCAATAAAGCATTTAGCTAGAAACACGGTGGGATTTAGAAGGAATCTTGCCCTATTATTTGTGGAGTAACGGGAATGCCAGAAAAAGATTTCTGCAGGAAAGAAGTACCCCCTGCCTGCATGCCCCATGAAGTTCTGAAAATCGGCTCATCTTAGGTGATCAAACCAAGCACAGTGAAAAAGGGAAAGAAAAAAGGGAGAAAATTGGAAATATTCTCCTCTTTAAAATGTGTTGCAACAAAATATGCTGATTTCAAATTCTGGAGACCAAAGATCTCCATCTATCCTCCCTTCAGGAATCACAAAAGTGCAAGCAATATAAACTGCTTATTTCACCCCAACCCAATAGCAAAAAAGAACCGAGCTTAGAAAGCCAGATAGGACAGCTGCTGCCTTGGCCCACTCAGTATTCAGTTACTCAATTCAAATGTCAGCAGAGGAGGCCGGCCTCTGAAGATGAGGATGCTTCACATGAGAAAGTGAAGTGAAATACCTCAGAGGTTTCTATTCTGCACCACTGATGTTTTCCTACAGAGTGCTTTTAATTCAGGATCTCAGTGGTTTACTTCATTGGCAAAATGGGGAGTCTACATTCAATCCTTCATGGAAAACCAATGAAGAATATTTTAAGACAGCTAAACAATGTTATTCCCATTTTAAAAACAGACCCTTTGAAAAACAGAACAACTGTACTTCTTGCTCAGTGATGTGTTTGTTTCTGACAAAGTGAAGAATGTAACTCAGGAAGGCTGACTTCTACTCTTGAGATGGTTAATAGGCTACAACACCAGGTGAATGCAATTACCTTGCAACGTGTCCTGAAGGGCTTCAATTTGCTCAGTCAGCCTCTGATTACAGTTTTTCAGGTGGTAATTTTCTAGCTCAAGCTATGAAACAACAATAAAAAAAACTGAAAATTAATGCATAATGTGTATGTGCTTGTGTTCCTCTACACAGAACAAGTCTTCAACTTCACTTACATTCAAGTATCTGAACAGGAAAATGGAAAAAATTAGGTGAATTCTACCAGTCACCTCCTCCTCAGCAGCACTACTTACACTTACCTGCACTTTCTCAAATCACCTGTCTATTCTATTTGTACCCCTCAGATAGATCTTTTAGTTTTGTTTTCTGCTGTTGTTTATCACTTATTCCCATTTCAGAAATAACTGTTATGAAAGAGACAATCAACAGCACTTTTCTTCTATGTGTAAACATAGATCCCCATCTGCTGTATGTGTATGTCTATTGTAACCATAGATCCCCACCTGCTCTAGAAGACCAAGGAAAAAAAATGTTATGCATTTGCAGTTTTGCCTTATGTCTGTAAAGGAATCGTTAGATCGTGGCCTTAACTGGTGATTGAGCACCTGGTGATGGAGTATGGCTGGCCCAGGAAGCACAGGTGCAAACAATTTATGTGTGCTTCCCACATGACCAGAAGGGATGGACCCAGGGTCCACTCTCCCTTCTTTCCTGGGCTCCTTTAAGGGCTAGCCTGTAAAGGGAGAACATCTCCTAGATGAAGGCTGTTTCCTTAAAAAGGATGTTCCATAGCCAGAGAGCTTTGTCACTACCTGGGTGAGTCATTTATTTATTTATTTTTGTGTGTATGTCTATTGATATTTCTAATGATGCTTTGCCTGGTATTGTAGAGAATTTGTCAGAGGCAGTTTCATTGCTTCATAGGGCAATCAATGTCTTTGCTTGAAGCATATCAGTGTACAATCTTGAGCACAATAGTGCACCCAACGAGGCTTTATTTTTGATTATTTTTGAATTAAGGCTGAAACTGTACTTGTGTTGCTTTCTAGAGTACTTCATTTGCAATGTAGATATTAAGTCCTTCAGTCACCTATCATTTACACATGTATGGTGTGCACCTAGGATCATCACACAGCATGATCTTATTGCTAATAAAGACACAAGGTGAATGCATGGTCCTGGATTCTCAGCAGTTCACTCTAAGTCAACCCCTTTGTTTCCCTTAGGTTGTATCAGTCAGTAGTGTAGATGCCCCTTAAGTTACCTCATATAGCCGAATTAAAAAAGCAGCGAAGTTCTCAAGCACACAACTGCAGAGGTAATCTAATGAGTTTACGGAATCATATCTCAGTATAACTAGTGTCCACAAAGACTACTACTTTCAACTCCAACAAGTTGTTTTTTTTGTTGTTTTTTTTTTTTTTCTTCTGGTGTAAGTTCTGAAATGACTTTCCATTAGAATGAAAAAGAAAGGCTGGATAGACTCAACTAAGGCATATTTAAACCTGAGCATGACCATCGTTACCTTTTCATTGCTCTAAAGAGTATTGAATTGCACCCAATTGAAGGTGTATGTCTACAGGATGGTTGAACATGAGAGCATAGGTATGAAAGAATGTTAGGTAGGACAACAGGGATGTAGTGTGTCATGAATGGCAAACTACGGAAGAACAAATGATAATGTTTGTGTTACAGCTGCTTTGTCAGGAAGAAACACAGAAACTGCAACCTCAGAGAAGAAGGGAGGTAGAGGAAAACTGTGGAAAAGCCATTTGTGTTTAGTTGATGTAATAACATTCTACAGAGCCTGTGTTTGGGCACTAATGACTTAGCAGTCATTCATAGTTTGTCTAAATCAGTAAAGTAACCCTGAGGGGTAACTCTACTCCTGTAGTTGAATGTGTGCACTGGGGAGAAAAAAGGCTGAAAGACTCTCTGGCAGACTGACTGTCTTCAGACTATTGTTCCTATAGAAGAGCATACAGGCAATGCAGCCACTGCATTTACCCATAGGCCTTGAAACTTGGTAGCAGGCTGCAGACTCACCTCTTTCAGCTTAAATGTTACCCACTCTTTAATCTTGGCAGCTTTCTCTTGAATGATTTTGGCTTCCTCAGTCCTCAGCTGTTTCTGTGTAAAAAAGAATTCTATGCATTAGGATGTTACAACTGACAGTTTTCTCAGTGGTTTACTGCATGAGTTGTTCACTGACAATCCTATTATAAATGTAAAACTTAAAAACTCCGTTTGGACATTACTGTCTAGCTAACCACTGAAAATCAAGTTCTTTAAGTCACCTTATGTAGTCCCTGGAGTCAAATTCACAGGATTATTTTAAGAGCCTGTTGTGGAATAGCAAGCCTAGCTTACGTAATGATTGCCCCTCTCCCATGGTTTTAAGTAGTCTCCAAGTTTTCCTGTTTTAGTGGTTCTGCAGTGTTGAGCATCTGTAGTGTCCTTCCTCTCACCTCCCCACCTTGCAAAATACACCCTGCTGGCTGTGGTTAATGAAGAATTAAGCAGTGCCAGTACGTGATATTCATAAAACAGTGTAATTCTTGCAAGCAAAAGCAATTCATTTGCTGCAAGTACTTGTGTATGGTAACGATTAAAGACATGAGATGGAAACTAGCACACAAACAAATTGTTAGTAACGTGCAGTATTAGTAACTTTCTTTGAGAAAGTAGATTAAATGAGTAAACAGATCTAAAAGCTTAAGAATCTGATCTTGAAACAGTGAGATCTGCCAGGATGTTTTTTGTTGGTAGAAGTAGCTGTATGTTTACATATTGATGCAAGCAGTTTTTATTCTACAAAGCAGTGCTATGGAAATACAGTTGACTTGTACAATGAACGTTTTTCTCCCGAGTAGCTGATTGAGCAGCATTGCTACATTATTTCTGCAGGTGTGTTTTCTCAGCTGCATTTTTCTCCTTTCCTGAGGATTTCTTCGGCAAGGCACTAGATAGGCACTATTGTCACCTGAAGCCTTCTGTTGATCTCCTCTATGGGTTCATCACGAGCACTGTCATAGAAAGGCGTCCTATTTACATTGTGGTTTAAATGACTACAAGGAGAAACTAGTACTAGAGGCATGGTAGGGAGTGGGAATGTAATCTATGTGATATATTCAGCCTTTAAATTCTTTCCTTAAAGGGACAAAAAGTAATAGTTACTGGTAGCAGTTGGTGTTGTCAGCTTTTCTTTTATTTGCTGATGTGTACAAATATCACTAATTGTGAAAACAGAAGTGAATGTCTTTTTTCTTTTTTTTCTTTTTTCTTTTGGGGGGGGGGGGGTGTTTTTTAAAAAAAAAAACCCACAAAAAAACAAACAAACAAACAAAAAACCAACCCTGAAGAACATAAGTTCAGTTACTGGAACTACTGTATTTATGTGGAGTTCATTAAGTTGCCACATCTTAGCATCACTCTTAATCACTGCATGTTTTTAGTCACCATAGCTGCACATTTAAATGCTTTTATTCAAAAATGAGCTTCCTGACCTTAAAACAGACCCTGGCAACACTATGGGCAGCAATAAAATTTGTAGTAGAGCACAATGAAATAAAAGTAATCTAATCACATGCTTCAAGAGGAGGATTTATTTAGTTTTTTTTCTCTCTGAACATAGCTGTATGTGTTCCTAATTATCAGGTGCCAGTCTTTGCTAGAGTCATAATATTATATGTGACTGTTGATCTGAAATGATCAAACAAATACAGTGGATTTACTATAGCCCTCGGAATAAACATCATATAGTTATGCTTTTGAATCCCTAATAATTCAGGAAGCAAGTGACAAGTGATTCAGAATATTGCTATACCACACAGTGAAGTACAAAACCAGTATTTCATTTAGGGTCCTAAACCAGACTAGCAACATTATGACAGCATTGTGACAGAGTTTACTAAGCCCAATCTCCAAGCATAACCAATTTGCTCAGGCACAGCACCCACAGATGCAGTTATTGTGCCTAAATATCCAGGAGCAGCTAGGGATTCATTATGTCCCATGCTATTGTGTGGTGCAGACATGACCTCAGTGTCCTTTTATTAATACTGTGAACTCTACAGCTTTCCCCAACCTGGTGAAAGCAAATAGAATGGCAACATTACAGCACCAAATGAACTTCCAGAACTCCCACTATCTCATTCTGCTTTGAAATTAAACCATTGACTCAGAGAGAGTGTTATTTGTCTGAAATTGTCCTCTTTTTCCTGGAATAAAAAGATTTCTGCTAACAGAAATGCTTTTCCAACTTCTGTTTATTTATTTTAATTTAATCACACCTTGTATTTATGGGTAAATCAAAATTCCTTTCATCTTTGATTGCAATGACTGCTTCTAGACTTTGATCACTCTTATAGCTCCTTCTCAATGTCTTGTTTTTCTTCCAGAAGAAAAACTTCATCTACGTTGTTTCTGAGTAAGATGGACCAGGGAAGTGACCTGAAACCAGAGACCGGTGCCTGACCTCCACACACTATACTTGATCTCAGTAAGTACCAACAGCTTACCAATCTACTTTGATTTTGAATTTATCAATCAGTTAAATTGAAAGTGCAACTCAAACACCAAAATTTTCCAAGTAAAATTCCGATGAGGAGTTTCCATTAAAAAGAAAGTGATTTACTTAGTAATATAAGATTATCTCATTCCTCATATTATAAAGTAGACTACAGGGCCAAGGCCTTTACAAGAGCTGAAATTTCTGCTGTCAGTTTAGCTCCTGTCATCCACCAAATGAGAATGGAAAAGGCTAAGAGGTTGTCTTTTATACCGAAGGCATCTGGCAAGACAAGAACTGTGTCAAAGAATCCCTGAAGACTAGGAAAAGCCCCTTCCCAAGATGCAGCCCACACTGAGTCAGAGATGAGCCGTGCAATGAATCTGTAGAGCAATCTATATGCTAGGAAGCCAGACAAACACCTAGATTTGAGCATTACAATTTAGGGTGTCACCACTGATTCAACAGTACTGTAAGCCCTCGAATGATATCTATTAATCTTTTGTAATGAAGAGACAAGTGCTACTGGGGCTGAATGAAGGGTTTGTCTGAAAAGAGAAAGGAAGGAGAAAAATCTCACTGAGGAAGACATCATTTGAGTTACCTTCAGATCCTCTGCAAGAGGCTAATGTGTAATGGAGACAAGCTGTACCTTTGAACCATATGTTACGAAGTCCCTCCAGCTCATGAAGTCTACAAATCTGTGTGCAGAAGAGGCCTTTACCTGTTTTGCTAACTGTGTCTCCAGTCTGCTAATCACATCTTCCTTTCTTTGCACTGTACTCATCAGCTCTTGATATTTCCTGTACAGAGTGCTGTTTGATTCACTAGTCTTCATGTTGGCTAGTTTTATCTCCTCTCCCATAACTCTGACCTGTAAGGACAATCAGAGGGAGAACAAAAAAAAAAAAAAAAAAAAAAAAAAAAAGGCAAATGAAGGAGCTGCTTCTTTAGCAGTAAGACCCTTACTCACGGAATATTTATTATTTCATATTTTTGTAGTCAGAATAGGAAGAAAAAACCTTAACTACTGTTTACAATAAGGATATTGTCCGTTTGTTTGCACTGCAGAAGGTGTAACAGCTGCAAACTGGAAAATGAACACAAACACACTGTGAATTGTTACATACTTACATGTTATCGGTCAGACAGACTGTGCAGGCACTACAGTCTGTACAGATATTTAAGCAAGGTACACCACGTTTTCCTCCTTTGCAATACTACAGCCAGTTTTTTAACCCCATTCAGCACCGAAGTATACACCAGAACAACTTTTCTCTATGATCTCCAGCTTAAGATACTGTTTTGGTAACTTGGTAACAATTTGGTAAGCATATTTTTATAGATCTGCCTACTCTTGAGCTCCTGTGAGTGCCAACACTTGGTGATTGTCCTGCTGAGATAAACAATGTAGTGCTCCCTCACTACTGACAGGTTTCAATGCTTTAAAATTTAGCTGCTGCTGGAGCCTTCTAAATTTTTAATTGATTTTGTAAACTTCACTTTCTTCAAAATCAATTTGTCTCAATATCCCAGTCTTTTTTTAATCTCTACTTCATCATAATGCAGTGGATTATAAATCTTCCATTCCTAAAATGGATTTCTGCTAGCTTAATTCAAATGTTAAATGCAGTATTAACAACAAGAAGATATCTGACTCCAGTGCATTCCAGACAGACTGAATCTGCAAAATAACCAGTTCCAAGTACTGTTAATTTGCCCTGAGTTTGGAACCAGGAAGGCAGAAAATGGGCACTTCACAGGGCCTGTGCAAGTGAGTTATTCATGCTCTGTTGAACAGACTGCACCTCATACTGGCAGCTGCATTTTGTTCTTCTGTCTCTCTATGTTAAGCAGAGAAGAACAATGCCTCTTACTCATTCCGAGTAAGAAAGGTAGGCACTCAATATCTGAGCCAGAAAACTGAGCCTGCTGAGTCAGATGCGTTTTCATTAGAGTTTAGGGTGATTATAGTGGGGGAAAAAAAAAAAAAAAAAAAAAAAAAAAAAAAAAAAAGATGGCTCCTTCTTTCTCTATGATGCCCAAATGTTGACTCTGTGCTAAAGGCAGAGAGTGGGGACTGCAAATACATGATTTCTTTAATTGAGGTTGGCAGCTTCAGGGAGCCCATTGAATTAACAAATTCAATCCCTCAGAATCCTGGAGTGAAAGAAAACAAGGGATTTTACACTTGATGCAGAGCCCTCTCATTTGTAAGCTGCTTCTCATTCATTAGAAATACATTTGTTAGCTGAAAGGAATGGCCCTACTCTATTCTGTTGTATCTTCCAGCTGTTAGGTAGCAGCAAGGAATGCCTCTAGCAATGTTTCTCTATGTGGGGCCAAAGTGCTAGAAAGGCAGACTATATAGCTTTGAAGGTTGCTGGTCTCTGGGACCTACCCTATACAAAGCTGCAGAACCTTCATTTGCCTTAGGGTGCCCCTTCTACTCCTTCCCAGTCAAGTACTGTTTTGCTCATTCCCTGGCTTGGATTTGACTTTCCCTACATCTGCCTCTTGGTATCATTGCATCTTCCTATATCATAGACGCTATTCCTGATGCAGTAACAGCCAACATTACCTTTGTTCATCTGTTTTTGTGTGAACTTATTGATATTACTCTCATGAACAATTTTTGTTCTTGGTTGACAATTGACTGATCTTGCCTAGAGGCCAACAGCATGCAGCTAGTATCCTTCCTAAATTTATATTGGTCAGAATGAAGAAATCTCACCATTAATACAGAACTGGTGGAGGTTCGCAAAACTATGTTTTACAGATGGAAGTTCCTAATTCTGAGGTGGTGTTTTCCAGTGCTTATAACAGTCTGTTCAGTCCTTCACAGCCAAAATGCTTGTCAGCCATTCCCAACCATCTTGGATGGTTCTTAGTTCTATGCTTTAATCTCTGACACTATGCTCAGTCCTGCAGTTTTTGACCACTGGGAGGGAGCTGGTTCAATTCAAAGCCTCCATTTAGCTGTTGCTTGCAGTGATGCAGGAGCCCAAGCCATCTGGCCCTTCCTGGCTTGTGTTACAATACAATTGTGTTTTACAGTGCAGACTGTATAATAATATGCTTCCTAAAGTTACATTATTCTTTGTCCATAAGCATGAAGTCTTTCTGTCTACTTAGCCATTACTCAAGGAACACAGAAGTACTAGCTTAGAAAACACACCTAATTTTCCAATGGCTACAGTACAGTGCATCATATCTTGCTCTTACTGCTTTTCTCTGTCTCATTTAGTGCAATTACTGATGAGAAGAAAGACTAAAATAACTGATTGGTTTTGCAGAGATGCTATGGTTCTTCTGCAGAACTTTTCTACTTCTAGACATTTCTCTACCAGTACTGCTTATATATTTATTTTCTGAGGACCTGCCAGACAGCTTTATCTCTGCAGTTTAATCCTGAGGTACTACATCCTCTAGCTTTTCCTAAAATTAGTGTGCCTGTCATAAGTGAGGAGGTAAAGGCTGTAAAGTAGAGTGACATATATAAAGAACTGGTTTTCACTTAATGTGGACACATTTGGGAAGCTGTTCATAGTTTAGACTCAAAGACCAGGAAATATGACCTGAATATCCATTTAGTGTGGTAAATCAGTGTTCCCTAGTATAGTACAAGGTGCTGTCTGTACGCTAAACTGGAGGGAGTTTAGAGTAAGTTCCTACTTGGCTTGCACCAGAGCAACATAAGAGAACATCTTACCTGTTTTTCTGCATCCTCAGCTCTTTGCTCTGCTTCTATCACTCTCTGTTCCAATTCTTGCATCTTCAGAGCCAGAAAAGAAGTAGGGAAGAGGGGGGGAAAAAGAAATAATCATCACCTGGAGGTTCATTTGTTAGAATTCAAACCTTCCATTCCTTAGGTAGGTCACAGATTTTTGGCATCTCTTGGGTTAATTGGTCAACTCTGAACCGCGGAAAAAAGCCTTTGACCTTTCCCAGTCATCTGCCCCAGTCTGAATTTACTGGAATTGTTTCCTCATTAGTGAGCTTCATCATTCATTACATGGGTCAAGAAAATAGTTCCAAATTCTTGACCTCATCTCTACAATTTATGTGCCATAGGCTGTTCCTGCAAGAAGCCTGCCTACAGTTCATAGTTTTTTCCTGTTTTCATTTCATCTCAAATTTATGATGGTGAAGAAAATAATCACACTTTGGAAGTCCCTCAGCAGGTTCTCTATTATGTCCCTTTATAATCAATGAATATTTTGGTTTAGCTTCAGAAGTATCCTAGACTTGTATCTGATAGGATTATGAATGTTCTTAGTTTTCATTTTAAAGAACTTTGCAAACTAATGGTACTTAATCTGAGCATTGCTTCTACTGAAACATGATCTACAGGTAAACAAATAGCTTCATTACTTGTGAAATACAAATGCATTCAGTGTTCTTCTAACAACTTAACAATAATCTCCCCCACACCTCTGTTTTCATGTGTTTATTTTTAAATAGCAGTAGGATTTCATTTGATGTTTGCAAGGTCGTCTTCCATCCTCCCCTCTATTTGATGGGTCTCAGGTTTTAGTCCAGTAATATCTATGTCACTAAGTTTCAGCCATTGAGCTACACTGAATTTTCAGCGTTTACTAGTGTTTTACTCATGAAAGAATGAGAAAGAAATAGCTTCAGTAAATTAAAAGAATCATGCCTCAAGCAGGAAACTTGACTGCAAGGGAAACTGAACTTCTCTTTGATACATTTTATGACTCTGGATAAAAGTCAAGTTGGACACTATTGGAACAGTATCAACGCTTTTGGAAAGGGAACTTCATTCATCTTGAGTTGATTACCCTGAAGGCAGATGCCAGTATTCCTATGTTTTCATTTACCATCCTTTAGATGGCAACAAGACTCCTCTTCATATGTTGATCAAAAAGAGCAAATTGATACCTACTGAAAAACTTATCAGAATTATATGCACATAGACACATCAGTGATCATGTAACTAAAAAAAGCCATGACAAAGGAATGCACACCATGGAAGTTAGAAAGTGCCATGTGTAGATACCTATCAGATACCTATGTGATAATTATTATTATTTTTTCAGTATAGCAGTCAAGGACAGCACAGTTCATGGAGCTTAATCTCCAAATGATTGAGGGCACTTCCTTGGCAGAGAAGAGAGATGCTACGAAAGATTACCCAGACAGCCGAAGTCATAAAAAAGACAGAGTATTTGAGAAACTTAAGAGACTGAGGTCTAGGCAGTTAACGTTACAGCAGTTGTCTGGGCACAAGCCTTTGTCCATTAGGAATAGTGGTCTCCTCAGGCATTTTTCTGTCAGTCTTGGAATAGCAATCACCATAGACAGGTAATAGCAATTGTGCCGGCAAAAGACATGCAAACTGGAAACGTAATACACTTTAGAAAGCGAAGGCTGTTTCTAACAGTAGATTCTAAGTCAGTTTCTTTTAGTTTTCTCATGAAATGATGGGAGCTACATTCTCAGCGCAGTTTGGATGAATCTGTAGACTTTTCCCCAAGGGCTATTCTTTTAGATGTACAACTGGATTCTTCACAATGGGAGATCTCCATGAAACACTCAAGTTATTTTAAAAGGGCAGCATTGTTCTGGCTGAAAGAAAAATACTTTATTGTTCCAGCCTCAAGACAGTTTGTTTTTTATTAGTAGTTGTCCTGGTTCTTGATCAGGATAAAATGAATTAAGTATGTTGGGACCATTCCTGATCACTAAAGGGTTATGAAACTTCTTGTGCAATCAAGATGATCTGGCTAAGTTCCAGGCAAATCAATTACATCCTGTCACCCTAATCCCCTCTGTAACCTTAAATGAACTTGCACTTTTCTTAACTTCCTCTACTATGTTGTTGGGTTGCCCTACTATGAACTGTTAAGTAACCACTGCATTTCTTGTAGACGAAAATGATTACTTCACCCATCCGTGGTGCCAACTATCTCACTGGAGAACATTAAATTTTAATACATCCATGCTTGTAACACTCTTTCAGATCCCTCAATGAACTAATAGTAATATTCGGTATTTACATGGGTCCTTTCATTCAGAATGCTTTATAATTTGACAAATGCTACTAAATAACTCGACCCAGTTCACATAGAAAAAAATTAGTGGCAAAGCAAATCCAAGTAACTCTTCTCCCATACACTAGCTTGTATGAAGAGAGAAACAGGCCCAGTTGTACAGCCCTCATTGCATGAGACAAAAGAGGCTTTTTTAAGTGTTCGTTTTTATCGAATTAGTACAGAAACTGGTAAAAGCTAGACAGATGGCCCTTAAAAGCTGCAAAAGATCCTTCTATTTGCCATTCAGATAGGCTTTCTCTCTCCTGACTGCTCAGAACATGCAAAATAAAACTAAGTAGAAAAAAGTTCATGCATGTTTCAGCCTCAATTTCCTCTTGTTCTCTTCAAGAGCTCACTTGTAACCAGGTCACTGTGCTGCCAAGACAACAGCTTGCAGTGTCACTCACCAGCAGAGCAGCCAGAATGGAAACAACTGGCTGATTCCAGAGACAACGGGCCCCTGCTGATGGCTGAACCAAGTAGGCATCCATGGCTATTGCATGCTAGGGGAGTGCAGGAGGACAGCAGAGTGCTGCCTGGGGCACTGTGCTGAGGCACCTTGGCACGCTCACCTGCAGCCAGGCGTGAGCCAACCCAAGCGGTGCTGCTGGAAAGCTGAGCCCAGGTTACTGATGTGGCAGCTCACGCCATGTGAACTGCGGTGCTGGCAGTTAAACTGCTGGGTTTTAAATTCTTGTTCTGAACAGTGATCTAGATTATTTTGTCTAAGCGGATTTTAAGAATCTGAAGGATTTAAAATGTTAGCATGCATTGTACTACGAGTGATTTTTTTTATTTTTTTTTAATTTAGTTTTTTGAGTTAAAATAGCAAAATATGCCTTTAAATCCAAAAATTAGTTGAAGAATGATTTAAAGTTGGGAATCAGGTTTCCAAGCCTTCAATCAGTAGCTTTTCCTGACAAAGCCATGTTTGATTTAAAAAAAAAAATAAAATAAAATAAAAAATCCCATTGCTAAAACCATATCAGGGGTTCTCAGGAGCACCACAGGTTGGCCTCACAGTTTCAAATGGTGTCCATTTCTCGAGATTCTCTATCTTCCCTCAAAACTCGTAAGAAATGCAGTACAATTTCAAAAATGTCTATATTTCTTCATTCTCACAGATGGACCCAAGTATAAACAGAATCACAGTTGCTATAGAATAAAAATATAGATAATATCTCTAGATATTATGCTATAGATAAAAAAAATCCCTGAAATTGGCATTATAAGGCATAATACATGCATCTTTTTTGGTTCTGCATCACTGCCTATCTGAGTAGAAGGAGGCACTGTGGACAGGAACCTTGACATACTATGGGGCCTGTAGGGAAGAGAAATAAACCTCTGAGGAAGTAATTGCAGAACAGTTGGGAACCTGAGACAGAGGAGACTTGCCATCAACTGTGTTCAGTGGGAACATCACATGCTTGAGCGCCTTCTCTAGGTTCTTGAGTCCACCTGTGTCAGGAGAGGACACGAGCTGACACACATTCGTTGGTGCTCTGCCCTTCCTGTATGACATTCAGAGTAGGAAATTGCAAGCCTGATAGCTCTTTGACCCTCCAAGTGAGCCTACAGGGTGCTGTACACGTAGTTACAGAGTAACCTGATCACTGAACCAAGCAGATCCTTAATTTTAACAGAGAGAATGTTGCTTTGACCAAACCAAATGGGTGGGTGAATTGTCATAGGGCCCCTTCCTTGAGCAGCCCCACACAACTGATTACAATTTTGTTCTCTGCTGTGGCTCACAGACATCCCTAAACAGACAGTCTGAGAGGTGCCTGCCAAATTTGCTCTCCAAAATATTGGTAGATTGGTTTCTCTGTGTTCTGGGGAATAGTCAAGAGTTAACAAAGCACATGGCTACTTCTCCTGCATTATGGAGTCTGTGGAGTGCTGCACATCACAGTTGTCGCTACCAGACTTGCACCACATGCATACATGATTCTTACACTCTTTTGTCTAAATCAACTTTATGACTACTTTTAACATTCTCAAAGGCAAACAGTATCTAAGGTCCACCTCCAAATCTACCTTCAAAAGATGAACAGGGTACTAGAATTGCATTATTTCTTAAAACTACACGAGAGGTGGAGTCACTGTCTCACATAAAGTGTAAAGCATTAGTGGAAATGTAATTAGACTGAAAGCAACAATAAAAATCACTCCCCTCTGAAGTTGTTGTCATTTAAAAACACAACAAATAAAGACAAACCAGGCAGGCTTAAACACACAGAGGTTACGTAACCCAAAATGGAGCACATCTATCATCAGGTATAGCTTAAAAGCATTCAGAGTAAGCTGCATTCAGTCACAAAGATTTCAACTTTTATTATTATTGGCAAAGCACGACTGAAAGGAATTGTACTCACTTTGATAACAGTGATTGAATGGCTGAATAATCTTTAACTGGACTGAAATACTGTAAGTCACATTTTGAAACAAGGAACTCCACAGTGAATTACAAACTTGGATAATGTGCAAATTAGAGCTTAATGAAAAAGCTTGAATTCAAATTGAAACGTAAACTATTTTGAGATAAAGAAAATGTACACCATGGTGGAAACAAACAATCAGACAAAAACAAATAAAACAAACAAAATCCCCACCAAAAATACCTATATCAAAATCTCTAATCTTTGCTACTCCTCTCCCCTAAGATTGCAGGCAAGTTCATATAAAGCACTTCAAAGAGTTTGGTAGGAGTTGCCTCAAAACGAGATACTCTGCAAATTTCTAACATTCTGATCTTGAAAAGCATCTTAGTTCTAATCTTCAGCATCTCCAGAATGTTTTGACTGGTTATGCAATATTATTCTAACATTATGGCAATACATGTACCACTGCCCAGTCTTACAGTATAATTTCTCATCTTATAAGCTTTTCTATTGCCAAACCTACTACTATAATTACAAGAATCCACCTTTGCTCTGTAGCTGCCTCACACATTAGAGGTTCAGAATCTTGCTATGGTGTTTTTCAGTAGTTAGAATATCTGGTGATTTTCCAACTGCAAATAGGACTTTGCCTGATGGGTCAGTATTTAGAGAACTTTTGCTTTCCTGCTATAATTCAGAATGAAGCCGAAGTCACCACTGTCTCACCTTCTCAGCTAACAGCTCTCGGATCTTGCTTGCCTGCAAGCGGAATTTGAAGAGCTGGGACTCCAATGCAAGGCATCGCTTTTGCCAGTCCATACAGCTGCCACTCTCCTCTGTGAGTTCAGCCATTGTGAAGTTATTTGTTCACCTGGGATACCTTCTCTGGTGCTCTAAAAATCCTAGAGAAAAGAAGGGAAAAAAACCCAGCATTTTAAACGGGCAAACTTTTCATTCCTTAGGCCTAGTCTTCCTCAGTTTAGTCAATAGGACTGGGAACAAAGGTGATTTCTTCCACAAGCCGACTATGAAGTGGTGCTATCCCAAGTTATAGACATGCCCTCTGCCAGAAGTTTCTCTTTCTAGTGCTGTTATGGATAAATTGATCATACAACAGTACACCAACTTGCGCTGACCTTGCTAATGGTCAGGATGTGGGTAATTATGTGAACTCAGGAGAACTTGCCCTCATCACCCTCTCAGTGGGGAGAGAATGATGGTTTCTAGCTGATGAGCAGGGATGAACTCCAGTGAGCAGTGATACCTTCCACAGACACAGCTGCATTTGGAAGACGGTGGAAATCTAGAAAATGGAAGAGCATAACTGCATGCAGCTACAGATATTACAGATGAGCATAGTGAAGCATTTAATCATACGAAGGACAGTCATTAATGGGTAACAGATAAATATTCAAATAAACTTTTACCTTTAGACTAAGTAATTTGCTAGTGCATCACACTGCAAATTTCACAGCCATTTTGCCATCCTTACAGCCCTGCTCAGGCTTTTCCTATGAACTAGAAGTGTTTTTCCCCCCACCTTCTTCATACCAGTATGGTTGCAAACTCTCAAGTCAATAAAACTTTTAAAATATAACTCACTCATTACCAATTTGAGACACCAGTGTCTTACATCATGCAGACTGTCGAGAGAAAGTGACATATGAAGTAACACTGTCCACAAATTGCATCCAATTCTTAGTTAATCTCAAGAATTCCTCTTCCCGTCTGAAAAAGACAGTGAGCTGTCCTATCAGCTCTAAGTCTCAGAATGACTTTTCAAGTCCTGCTCTCTGGAAAATGTAAGGCAATGCACCTGCTGCTCAGCACTGACAGCAGAGCTGGACACGAGGCCTAAGGAGGAGCTAGAGATTCTCTTGTGCTTTGTAAGGTCTGTGCTCTCCTTACCAGCCAGCTGGCATCCAGGTTTTGTCATATCATAAAATAAACTTTTCTAGCCTTGAACAGCCCCAAGTCTGGGCAGGACTCCTCTCCACCATTTTGGCATATTTGATGTTGCAATAGGACCTGCCTACAAACAGGGATAAACAAAAAATCAGAAGAAACAAAGTTACACAACATGAAACCCTGAAAGCTTGTACATTTTCTCATTCAAGACTCAGGTTAAAAACACAAACCTTCACAACACGACCATGCCACTAACGTTATCGAGCACTGCAGAGAGTAGAAGAGAAAGCCTTGAACATTGGAAGAACTAGACGCAGTTACTCAAGACACATTCAACGCAGATTATTCTTTTACACACATCGTGTTCCTGTTTAACTCTCCAGGTACACATTTAATGCTGAATTCCAGAAATAAGAGATGGAAAGAACCTACTGGGTTGAGTGGGCAAATCTTTTAAAGTTAACCATGGTCAAAAACCAGGAATTTGTTTTTTCCTATGTTTACAGACCTTTCATATTATTTTCCAATAAATACATTTCTAGAACTTTTTTTTTTTTTTTTTTTTGGCAGCAGTGTATCTGAAAACTATGAATATGCAAAAAGTGAACTCGCATTAGAAACCTGACGTATTCCATGCTTTCAGTCAGACTCTGAAATAATATCAGAAGACCTTATCCAACAAAAAGACCTAGGAAGCAAAAAGCACTGTAAGTCCTTACTCACACTTGCTGACTAAAATGAAGCTTGCGGAAGAATGGAAATGCAAACTGCTGGACAGTACTGCTTATGAAAAAGATACAAAGAAGCATACACAGAGAATCCATGCACTGAAAGCCTGTTTGCTGCTCTGTGTACAGGCTACCAAGAAAAGAAGTTGCAGCTTTTTAAACCAAAACCTACTTTAGGTGACCTGAGCATCTCTATATACAAGCTTGCAGGAAAAAAGCTAACAAGGAGAAAGAATATGATGTGGATTTCCAAGATGCAGATAGGAAAGCATCAGTGCATCTTTGGGACATAGAGCTCTTTTTCCTTGCCTCCCCCCATCCCCCACTGCAGCACCATTCAATCCCTCATTTCCTCCATGTCAACAGCAGCAAGAGGAATCACGTATTCCTGCTCACACATGCTGCTGTGACAGATGGTCCATCTCTTCAGCACAGACAAGCAAGCAGCTTGTGGTCAGTTTGCCCAAAGTTCCTTGTCCAGAGGCAGCCTGTGTCCATCATCACTGCTGGAAATGACATCCATCTTGACAAGGAGTCAAGAGACTTGAATGCTCTACTATTGTCAATTCTATTGCTGACCTCTTTATTTCTGTGTTTCATCCTTCCCAGTCTGAGGAAGGGCAATAACAAAAAGTCCATTATCTTGAACATTTTGAACAATCTAAGCTAAGATTTAGAGCCCGTCAAAAGCTCCACCTTTACTATATCTGTTCCTGTGCCACAGAAAGCAGGCTTTAGTGACTACAAGTATCATATGGGTGTCTTCAGACTGAAACATCATATGCAGAGCATTTCGTTTCCACATTTGTTTTACATTACTGTAACAGAACACAGGCAGTGAGAGACAGAAAACACAGCCTCTGTGCTCTGAACATCGTTTTTACTGCAGCTTAAACATTTCACTTTGACCAATCTCTGCAGCCATCAGACATCATGTGAAGATGACAGACAGTGGAAGATTATCTAAACAAGCACTTCATTAAAACAAAGAGATAGACCTAGCTAGGAACAAGCGATGTCTGAAGACAAAACTGAAGATGTTGAAGACATCAAGAGTTGTAATTCCACAAAGTGGAGAAAGCTGTGGTTGTTTAATTTTGTTACTCGGTAACTGTTTAGAAGTTTTGTTTTGTTTTAAAATGGGCACAGATTATGTAAGATGTGCATAATGATAGTGCCTTTAATCAAAATGAGAAGTGGCTGAGCATTAGCAGACATTATAATACCAAATGAATGTGTACAGCCCAGCAACAAGCTGTGCAACACTACAAGAACAAACATTTGCAAAGCCAAAATAGTTATTAGTTCATCAGCTTCATTAAAACAATGAATCTCAAACTTAAAGGGACTTCTCACCTGCTCACAGGCAAACTCAGAGCTTCCCTGAGTTGGGGCCAAAGCAACAGGCCAAGACTTGGGAAAGAGCAGTGAAGTCACTCAGCCTTACTGCTTGTACATCTGACTTTGTAAGGTGAGAATGCTTAAGATGTCCCTCTGGTTGTATCTGCTCTTCAGCACAGCTGGCTCATATTTTGCAGGTAGGAGAGCTTGAAGTTACCCCAAGTATATGCAATAGTGTAAGCACACATAACACAGCAGGCCACTTAACTCAGAACAGCAGGTACGTAGATGAATAAAGGAAGGCACATTTTATCCCCTTTAGCTACATACATTAGCTGTTAGTTATTTTGTAGGCAGGTAGTTTTCTTCAGTAGTAGGAAGTTTTCCAGGCAGTGTGCTGGGAGGTGGAAAAGGGGACGAGGAACAAATAAACAAAAATTTTAGGAAGGAAAATCAGCATTCTTCAGCAAGTACCAGTACAGCTTATAGAAATACAGACTTGTCTTTTCCAAAGTCCAGCCCAGCAAATTACTAGAATCTCTAGCCCCAGTTCCTTGCCAGGCATTTAACTAGGCTTTCACACACTTCACAAGAGTGTAGGATTTCAATCTCAATTACAGGTATCAGCCATTCTCAAGCCAAAAGAAATGCACTAGTTGTGGAAGGATCCTACAACACTAATTCTTTTTACTGGCACCTCTGCTCTGGATGTAATACTTCAGCTCTCAAATGAATTTTTTCATATAGGCACAAAGATATTTTAGTCTTTTTTCATACAGTTTAAGTCCACTGATAGTCAATGAACCTGATTTACTGCACAGTTTATGTCAGAGCAAAAGTAACTTCCTCAGCTAGACCAAAACTGCTGGCTGATCTAAAATACCCAGATCTAAGTCTGAGACTAGGAGAGGTGTCCCAGGTCTGTAAGACTCATTCCCTCTAAACTGTGGACAATGGCATCATGTAATCCCTTTTTAAAATAAACATAGCCCTTCCCTAGAACCACACAGGCATTTTTGCTCCCACTATTCCTGTTCTAAAACCTCACCCCTCTAATGAGCTGCCTTGTAATTACCAGCATAAATGTAATCATAACTAGCTTGTATCTGTTCATTCTTGCAAAATATTGTCCTTCAGCCTAACTCGTTTTTTCCCCTCCCCTCCCTCGTATTTGCCCCTTGGTACATTCATAGATAGCAAGAGCGTCTCCTTAGAAAATTCATTTTACAAGGCCAGAGATAAGGAGCTCTTGCAGTCTTCTAAAAAACTTACCACCTCCTTCTGCACCTGTTCCAACTTCAGTGCATATAAGAGGTGGCTTTTGTCTTTCTCACTCCCCTTCCTGTACAGGTGACCACAACTGCAGCTGGAAGGCGGTGTGTCACCAAAGCTTTCTGTGAAGACAATAATTCTCCTAGAGAGTTACCACCCCTGACCACATTTGCCTTTTTATGACCATATTGCACTGGTGGTCAACACCCACAGAAAAGGCAACATTGTCAGAGCAGAGGAATCGGAGCTAGCCTTCCTTCACAAGTGCCAGATGTAAGAGTGTGGGGGGTCTCATTACAGAGATCCTGGAATAGATTAATAAAGCACAGGTCTGCACCAGATTTCTGCAAGGTCAAGGATCTCCGTACTGCAGTCTATTTCAAATTTTAGCAGGCCCATTTCTATCCTGTGATCAATAGGTATATTCACACATTTTCCTCCTCTGCTGTTTCTAACCAATGACCTCCCAGGCTTTCTATACATTTTGTTACTACAGCTAATGCACAATTTTATTTTGTTCCATTAGCATTCACTTCATTCTTTACTAAACCCCATTCAACTCTTCCAATAAAATGCCTTTCAACATCCCCTCTTCAGCACAGTGTCACATTCTCTTCCATCATTTCTTTGCAC